TCTGGGTCCGAGTTAGCGGCTAGTAGCGCATTCTTTGGGTTACCTGCCTGCTTCTCCCCTAAACCCTAAACCCTAAACCCTAAACCCTAAACCCGAAACCCTAAGTATCCCTCACACGCGGAAGGCAGGATGGTATGGGTCTGATTTCGGGGTTCAGAGGGTTTAGGGTTTGGGGTTTGGGGTTTAGGGTTTAGGGTTTAGGGTTTGGGTCCACAGGGATTGGGGCTCATTGGGCACCCATCTGACAACAGGGCATAGTGCAGCGCTACCCGCTTCAAGAGCTGCACATGAACAGCCCTGACCCCTCTGGTCCCTACTTTAGAGTAGACCCTGGAAAAGATATGTACTTCTTAGCTATAACTAGCTAGAAAAGGAACCCAGAACCAACAACAGTGTTGAAGTATAGTAACTATAGTACTCCAAACCCAGTACCCTAAACCCTAAACCCAAACCCTAAATGCTAAACCCTAAACCCTAAACCCCAGTGCGAGGAACCTCCGAAACCCAGAAACAACAAGCTCCTCCGCTGCACGTCCATTTTCGCCAAGGTGCTCACCATGTTGTAAAGACGCTTAGCACAGTTGTTGATCCTTGGAGTTCAGACGGGTTTAGGGTTTAGGGTTTGGGGTTTAGGGTTTACGGTTCAAACTGAGGTTAAACAGATGTGCAGCCTAAGCTATAAGCTCAAACTTTGTAAAGCCAAAACTCGATTGTTGAATGAACCCTCCCAAGACCCTAAACCCTAAACCCTAAGCCCTAAAACCCTAAACCCATACTACCTCTAAAGCCTAAACCCAAAAGACTCCAAAAGGTCATGGCATGTTTGCGGAAACCTTCGTGAAACCTAAGCCCAACCCGAAACCCTAACCCTAAACCCTAAACCCTAACTAAACCCTAAACCCTAGACCCCTGCATTTTACAAAGCCTCGCGGAAGTCCATGAACCCCTCCAAGAACCTAGCACTTTGGGGCCTGTAGGCTATGTTTCTGGCTACTACTTAGAGGGGTCCAGACATCTTCGTTCTGTTTGCGGCGCAGTGTAACTCTCCCGAACCCTTTAATCTGCTTAAGCCCCAAAACCTAAACCCCAAACCCTACCGTAAACCCAAAACCCGAAACCCAAAACCCGAAACCCAAAACCCTAGACCCTAAACCTCAAAAAGCTTTTGATGTTGTGGCAGGCCTGGGCCCGCTTGTGCGTTCGATCAGTTACCAGCGTGGTCTCGTTTCAGGGCCACAGGAAGTGCAGTGTAAAGGACGTGCGGGAATTTAAGTTGAGGCTTTTAGGGTTTTAGGGTTTAGGGTTTGGGGTTTGGGGTTTGGGGTTTGGGGTTTAGGGTTTAGGGTTTAGGGTTTAGGGTTTTGGGACTTAGGCGGCCTACCTTTTAAGGTGTATCTTCCCAGTCCCTGCCCTCGATTCACTGGTGTCCCACCCAGAAGCTATATACGTGTATTTATAATATACACATACATACATGTGTGTATACATATATATATATATAGTTCTGAAGGGCTTACATTCATGGTTGCTCCAAGTAAACCCCACAAAAGCCTGAGGCTTCACGCTCCGAAGCTATCAGCTCCAAGAATCATGTGGAAGGATCTCTGGTAGATGGACTCTGTGACCTGCCCAGTGATTTTAGGGTTTAGGGTTTAGGGTTTAGGGTTTAGGGGGTTAGGGTTGAGGGTTTAGGGTATGAGGGTTTAGGGTTTAGGGTTCAGGGTCCCTAAGCCCTAAACCCTAAACCCTAAACCCTAAACCCTAAACCCTAAACCCTAGGAACAAGAAGGGTGCCCTTCTTGGCATTAGAGGGGCTTCTAAGGGCACCAAAACCCCCGGAATCAGGGCCAACCCTGGGTCCCGGGCTTAGGAGGGTGGCCTTTGAAAAAGCTTTCGAAGCGGTTTCAGGTTCAAGGTTCAGGAGTTCGGAGGGTTTAGGGTTTTGGGTTTAGGGATTTGGGGTTTCGGCTTTAGGGTTTAGGGTTTATATAGGGTTTAGGGTTTAGGGTTTAGGATTAATTTAGGGTTAAGGGTTAAGGGTATTGGAGAGGGACAGGACACTTTAGAAACTTGGGATGGACACACAAAGACAAACACACAAACAAACAAACAAAGCACACATGCACGCATACACCACACACACACACATCTTCTCATTGAATCTACGCTCCGAGAACCCCTTACTCGCAGGCGCAGCCCAATGCATCAATGCCTCGTCGATGGACTTTTGGGCGAGGCCAATCAACCTTAGCATGCGGTGCAGGGTTTAGGAGTTAGGAGTTGACGAAAAAAAAGGGACCCCTAACATAGACCCCCAAATATTAGGATTCCCGTATCATAAGGACCCCGATGATGTGCCCCTCCCTAAACCCTAAACCCTAAACCCCAAACCCCAAACCCTAAACCCTAAACCCTGAACCCTTAGGGCTTGGGCTTTAGGGTGTCGGATGAACGGAGCCCATTCCAGCCGAAACAAGCGCCGAACCTCAGCCCTATAAGCAGTAGCCGTTCAGGATGCCAGGGTCCTTGTTGCATAGGCTAAACCACCCTAAACCCTAAACCCTAAACCCTAAACCCTAAACCTGAACCCTAAACCCTAAACCCTAAACCCTAAACCCTAAACCCTGAACCCTGAACCCTGAACCCTGAACCCTGAACCCGAAAAGCAGGCAGGAGGCTCCTCCATGGGCACCTTCAAGCGATTGGACACCTGGGATACTAGCGCGATGCACAGCCAGGGTTTTGGATTTAGGGTTTGGGGTTTAGGGTGGCCCAAGAGTAACCTAGGAACAAACCGGGTGCCCATTTTGGCCCAAAAAACAGCATAGAAGGGAACCCAAACCCTAACAATGGAATAAGGATATGCTGGGGTCCTAGACAAACGATTGTACCTACTGGCTGCCTTGTACCCAGCTACGGTCGCACCGTTGCAGTCCGGAGGACTAACGAGGCAAGATAAGAGAGGTTTAGGGTTTCGGGTTTAGGCTTAGGGTTTAGGGTTTAGGGTTTAGGGTTTAGGGTTTAGGGTTTAGGGTTTAGGGTTTAGGGTTTAGGGTTTAGGGTTTAGGGTTTAGGGTTTAGGGTTTAGGGTTTAGGGTTTAGGGTTTAGGGTTTAGGACCACACACAACAAGTTTCAAGCACGCCCGGGGTACTAAGTCAAGGCTTGAAGAGTGGAATCCTGAGCCCGAAGTCTTCGCAACACTGCCGGCTGCAGTGATGTGTGAGATGTTCGTTTGAAGCCTTTCAAGGTTCAACGTGAGCTGGAAGGCTACCACGCTTCGGGAAACCATAGATGGGGGGACTTAGAGTAACTTAACAGGGACCCTACCCTGACTGGGGCTGCCCTGCTTAAGAGCCCTACATCATACTATGGGTACTAAGTCCACTAAACCCTAAACCCTAAACCCTAAACCCTAAACCCTAAACCCTAAACCCTAAACCCTAACCCCAAAACCTCACTCATCAGCTGTTCGAAGAGGCGATTCCGGATCCCCCCAAACGACAAGCTGTATCTGACGAATGTTTCTGCGGCTTAGGGTTTAACAAATGGTTTAGGATTTAGGGTTTAGGGTTTAGGGTTTAGGGTTTAGGGTTTAGGGTTTAGGGTTTAGGGTTTGCGGGGGCAGAGGACTTTGATATCATTCGGAAGGGAGCAACACTCGCATCAAGGAATAATGCTGGGCATTGGCACTCTGAGTTTTCGAACGCTCCTACACAGGGTTTCGGGATTAGGTATTATGGAGGCTACTCTCCATTGCACCACCAAGCCTAAACCCTAAACTAACCCTAAACCCTAAACCCTAAACCCTAAACCCTAAAACCTAAACCCTAAACCCCAAGCCCTAAACCCTAAACCCTAAACCACCAGTTGGCCAATGGGTGGGGAGGTTGTTAGGGCTGGCAACTCGCAAAGCATAGCTGAGATATGGTAACCTTTCAATCGGGACAACCTAAACTAGCCCTAAACCCTAAAACCTAAACTTCTAAACCCTAAACCCTAAACCCTAAAGCCCTAACCCCTAAACCCTAAACCCTAAACCCCTGCTGTTAAATACCCTGAACTCGAGTCTCCAAGCCCCGAAGCCCAAACTTTGCTGTGCCGGGCGGGCGGCCACCTGCGTCAGCGAATAAACCCTAAAACCCTAAAACCCTAAAACCCTAAAACCCTAAAACCCTAAAACCCTAAAACCCTAAAACCCTAAAACCCTAAAACCCTAAAACCCTAAAACCCTAAAACCCCAAAACCCTAAACCCTAAACCCTAAACCCGGGCGGGCGGCCACCTGCATCAGCGAGGCCTTCCGTTGGATGAAGCCTCTCTGCATCGTGATGTCCTGCCCGAAGCAGATGACGCCTGCACGTTCCAGCAATGGGCGCTACTTTTTGGGGTTCGATTCCCCCCTAAGCCAACCCTATAAAGTGCCTTCTTAAGGGGGTTATCGGGCATAAGAGCCTTAGGCCTTAGATTCCCCCTAGCCAACCCTATTAAAAGTGTCTTCTTAAGAACCGTCAAACCCTAAACCCTAAACCCTAAACCCTAAACCCGAAACCCTAAACCCTAAACCCTAAACCCTAAACCCTAAACCCTAAACCCTCCAAAAGTGCCTTCTTAAGGGGGTGTAATCGGGCATAACAGCCCATGCACTTTGTGTGGGCCAGAACGGGAGCTGGTGGAAGTGAAGAGCGAGAGAACCTAATATTTAGGGTTTAGGGTTTAGGGTTTAGGGTTGAAGGTTCAGGGTTCAGGGTTCAGGGTTCAGGGTTTAGGGTTTAGGGTTTTACGATTTCCTAGTTCAGATATGCGTGGTTGTCAAAGTTATGGTCCCTTTTGGGGTCACGAATACGCCACCTACTATTTAGTGCGTCCAAAAACGGACCCTAATGTTGACAACTACCCATGTCTGAACTGGGAAACCGTATTGCAGTTTCATTCTCTCGTGCGAGAAAGCCCACAATGCGGAGTGCTGCCAATTTTCACGAAAGTTCGAAACTTTGGCGGCTTAGGCATAGTCTGGGTTCTTCCAAAGCCTAGGGCCAATCAAGGAGCAAGTGAACGGAAGAGTATAGAACTACTTCAACACCATGGCGCACAACGGACTTTGTTCCATGACACAAGTGCTTCAAACTAGTACAAAATTTTGCGCACTGCTCATGTGAAAGAGACATGCGTCGTGAAAAACGAGGATCTGACTTCTCTTGTTATCCGGCTGACCCTAAACCGTAAACCCTAAGCCCTCAACCCTAAACCCCACACTCTAAACCCTAAACCTTAAGGCCCTCAACGCTAAACTTGCACCACTCCCGGCTTGCGGCTACTGGCACTTTCGAAACACACGCAACCCCTCACGCACCAGTCTCATGGGCTAATAACCTGTGCACAGAATCAAGGGTTTAGGGTTTAGGGTTTGGTTTAGGGTTTAGGGTTTAGGTTTGCTCGAAAAGACTACAAGCCAGCAACACATAATCCCTGGCAAGGACTGCTAGTGCTGTTCGTACAAGGGTGGACATCCCAATCGAAACGACTTCTAAGTGGCCCGCCTCAGTCAAAAAAACCTGGCATGCCAGAATCCCTGAACGTTGAAACCCCCATGCGTCTTACACACACACACACAGAGTTCAGGGTTTAGGGTTTAGGGTTTAGGGTTTAGGGCTAGGGTTTAGGGTTTAGGGTTTAGGGTTTAGGGTTTAGGGTTTAGGGTTTAGGGTTTAGGGTTTAGGGTTTAGGGTTTAGGGTTTAGGGTTTAGGGTTTAGGGTTTAGGGTTTAGGGTTTAGGGTTTAGGGTTTAGGGTTTAGGGTTTAGGGTTTAGGGTTTAGGGTTTAGGGTTTAGGGTTTAGGGCCCCGGTCCGAAGAGCCTGTGCGTGCTTCACTCATCCCTAGGGCTGCCCGGGGCGTCGGCGTCATCAAGAGGACTTTCGGACGCTCCTCCAAGTCCATGAAGCCTCGTGGTTTAGGGTTTAGGGTTTAGGGTTTAGGGTTTAGGGTTTAGTGAGGGGCCTGAAGAATGCCTTAAAGGGTGTATACGGGGCCCTAAGCCCCTACTAAGAACCAGGGGGCTGAGGGCTCACAGGACCAGTTGAAGCTTGTACCAACAGGCTGGGGAAATAATGAAGGGGGTCAAGGGTTTAGGGTTTAGGGTTTAGGGTTTATGGGGCCACAAACTTCAAGCCAACTAAGCCCTGAACCTCGGAAACGCTGAGCCGATGAGCAAGCTAGGCGTGTACCCTAAACCCTAAACCCTAAACCCTAAACCCTAAACCCTAAACCCTAAACCCTAAACCTTAAACCCTGTGTAGAGCTAAGCGTCAGAGCTCGAAGGCTTCGACCTCCAGCGTGGCAGCCTTCTGGCAGCTTTTGGCTTGCGGCACTCAGAAGTTGCTTCGGGTTTAGGGTTTAGGGTTTAGGGTTTAGGGTTTAGGGTTTAGGGTTTAGGGTTTAGGGTGTGTATGGCTTTTATAGGGGTTACTTGTAGTACAGGTCTCTTGGGTCTTGGAGCAGGACAAGGGTCCTCCTGGGCGCCGTGGATGCAGATTCTTCTAGATCGGGAGTAACCTAGGGTGTAGAGTTTAGGGTTGAGGGTTTAGGGTTTAGGGAAAAATAGTGTGCCTGTTGGTTTAAGGGGAGTGATACAGGGAACACAAGCCCTAAAAAAAGGGAGAAAGGGTCTACTTTGGGTCCTAGCAGGTGTAGGGGCAAGGCCATTGAAAGCTCATGGCCCCTTCGTCATGAACCCTAAACCCTAAACCCTAATAAACCCTAAACCCGAAACCCTAATAAACCCTAAACCCCAACAAACCCTAAACCCTAAACCCGAAACCCTAAACCCTAAACCCTAAACCCTAAACCCTAAACCGTAAACCCGGGCCTCCTGGTCCATGAGCATTGCCCTCCGAAGGGAGTGCTCCCAGCTGGGCGACGTGGCGAAACATCCGAGGTGTTTGCCTGGCAACGCCCCCACACCAAAGCCGCCGTTAGGGTTTAGGGTTTAGGGTTTGGGGTTTAGGGTTTGGGGTTTGGGGTTTGGGGCTTGGGGCTTGGGGTTTGGGGTTTGGGGGTTGGGGTTTGGGGGGTTGGGGGTTGGGGTTTGGGGTTTGGGGCTTGGGTTTGGGGTTTGGGGGCGCTGCCGCTTTTGCACGCTTGGGTCCCAGGGTTTGGGCTCCGGGGTGTTGGGAAGCCTTAGACCCGAAACCCCCCAAAAAAACAACGAAAACCCCAAACCGGAAAGCTCAAAGCCAAGAAGGCTTGGCCCAAAGTCTGAATTTAGGCCCTGCAAGCCCATAATCGGTTTAGGGTTTAGGGTTTAGGGTTTAGGGCTTAGGGTTTAGGGTTCCCTCAAGCCATGGAGCACACAGCGCAGCCCAGCATACTCTTTAGTTTAGGAACGTTTCATCGTTAAAACTTACCCTAAGGGTCCATGTACCCCATCTTGGTAGCACAGCAACCGTAAACCCTAAACCCTAAACCCTAAACCCTAAACGCATTTTTTGCTGGTGACTTTATAAGGGAACCCAGAACCACAAAAAGGGTAAAGGGTACCACTGGGGCTACCAAGCCATTATTCGATACTGGAGCCCCAAGGTCTCTAGAAAGGAAGTCCGTTTAAGGCCCAAGCTATACTCCCTTTAGAACCTTAATAAACATAGTATGTTTAATATATATATATATATATGTATATCCTCTTGGGTTTTATATAAACAAAAAGTAAAAAATGATTCCCAAGGGGGGTATAGCAAGTATTCCCTCTTTGGGCACAACAATTACCCGCTTGAAGCTCGACACAACGCAGCCCCGAGCGGCAAAAACAGTTTCTTTGTTCCGAAGCCTGGAACATCCCTTAACCCTGTATAGGGTTTAGGGTTTAGGGTTTAGGGTCCTAAACCCTAAACCCTAAATCCTAAACCCCTTTTAACCCTGAGCATCTCACACTCTGAACCTCCTCGGCATACCTTTAGTCCATGAATTGGTTATAAAGAGGGTACCGTGAGCAGTGAGGAGCCTCATTCTCCAAACCCGAAAAGCCTCAACCCTGCACCCCTTCATTTTCCAGTTCCGAGACTGAGACCCAAAAAACTCACCGATACGGTTTTAGGGTTAGGGTTTAGGGTTTAGGGTTTAGGGTTTAGGGTTAAGGGTTAAGGGTTAAGGGTTAAGGGTTTAGGGTTTAGGGTTTAGGGTTTAGGGGGGTCTTGGGGGCCGATTTGGGGTTCGGCTAGGTCCGTATGAGGTTTGAGGGCCTTTGATCTGCATTGCCGGCACGCCAATTCTTTGCGCCATCCACGTGTTCCACCAAACTATCCTGCAGTGAAATAGTCTCAGGGGGTCTGCAAGCAAATAGTAGCAAATCGCGCGAAGATCTAGGGGCATAGTCTTGCGGTTTTTCCGGCAGGGCTTTAGGGTTAGGAGTTTTGGGGGGCCGGTGGAAAGTCCAGCAAAAAATGACGGTAAGGCTGCGCTGATCGAACGCCCTAAACCCTAAACCCTGAACCCTAAACCCCGAACACAGAATTCACAACGGGTCCGGTAATCGCTCTCGATCTCGATGATTGGCGCATTGGCACAGTCCAGGAGCAGCGAGAGGCATTCCTTGCTTCTTATCAGGTGGAGGGATTCTGTACTCGCCGGGTCGACCTACAAGGAGGGGCCCCCATACTATACCAACTGTAGTTAAGGGACATCTAACCTAAGTTGGGATCCTTATAACCCACTTTAGCGTCCTTAAAACTCTACTCACAACTAGAGCCCCTCCTTGTAGGTACCCTTCGTTTAGCTTCATGGCCTTCTCATCATGATGTTAAGGGATCCTTCGGCTGCCCCAAACAAGGGAATCCGGGCCAGAGGCATGTTCATTATTGAAGGGTTTAGGGCTTAGGGTTAGGGTTTAAGGTTTTTTGCATCCGTAGATACCCCCAAAAACCTGACTCGGTCCCAGCAGAACAAGAAGTCCCACCGGCTGGGCTCTGGGAGGAGTGGGTACAGCACTTCGGTGACAAGGGTTCAGATTTCAGCCTTTAAACAATACACCTTAAACCCAAAACCCTATAGACCCTCAGCCCTAAACCCGCCACCCTTCTCACCTGTGTTGGGATATAGGCGGGCGCAGTCGAGCGCTCAGCGCTACCAGGGCAGACTCGGCCGGGCTAGGTTTAGGGTGTATTCGGGTTTTGGTTTAGGGTTTAGGGTTTAGGGCTTAGGACTTAGGGCTTAGGGCTTAGGGTTTAGGGTTTGGGGTTTAGGATTTAAGGTTTAAGCCTTCAGGAAGCGGCCTGATTCAATGAAAAGCCCTTCGGCCTCCCGAAGCAGCAACCGGAAACCCCCAACTGCATCCAGTTTAGGGTTTAGGGTTTAGGGTTTAGGGTTTAGGGTTTAGGGTTTAGGGTTTAGGTTAGGGTTTAGGAAGCTCAGATACGCCCACCCTTACTTGCGGAAGCGTACCTGTTTTCCAGCAAACTTGACAACGCCCCTTCTCTGAGCCACAATGCCTCGAACGTATGCGACTGTGAGTTTGGCTTCCCTAAACCCTAAACCCTAAAACTTAACCCTAAACCCTAAACCCTAAACCCTAAACCCTGAACCCTGAACCCTGAACCCTGAACCCCAAACCCTAAACCCTATTGGCGGGCTCCGGTGTGGCTCGCAGTGAGTTGTGATTGGGCGGCCCTGGGGTGTGCATGTCTTCACACTATTGCGTTCAGCTGACCAATGCTACACCTTGAACCCTAAACCCTAAACCCTAAACCCTACACCCTAAACCCTCAACCCTCAACCCTCAACCCTAGCCCTAAGAAGCCCCTAAGCCTAGACTGCTCGGAGGCTTTCCTGCCGGGTTTCTGCAACCGCTTGAGCTGCATTCCTTGCCTTGCGGATCTGCGTCACATCTTGACCCATACACAGGACCTGAGATGCGGGTTGGGGTTTAGGGTTTAGGGTTTGGGGTTTAGGGTTTAGGGTTTAGGGTTTGGGGTTTGGTGTCTAGGGTTTTGGGTTTGAGGTTTAGGGTTTAAGGCTTCGGGTGAGCCCTCATCCTTTGTCAGGCATGTGCTACTCCTGAAACTACTAGGCGGATGTGAACTATGCCCTTCTCACCGTCCTGCAGTGCATCTCTCCAGGAAAGTAGGAAGCCAGCAGACGCTCGGAGTCTTGCACAGGTTCCAGGGTCCAGGGTTCAGGGTTTAGAACTCTAAACCCTAAACCCTAAACCCTAAACCCTAAACCCTAAACCCTAAACCCTAAACCCTAAACCCTAAACCCTAAACCCTAAACCCTAAACCCTAAACCCTAAACCCTAGCTCTGACCCTAAACCCTCAAAGTGCTAAAGAACCCACCAACCAACCATATTTTAGGGTAGTTACATGGCCCCTGGGCCCTTAGAAACGGGACCCCTTATATAGCCCTTATATACCCTACACCAACTAAGGGCCCATGCCCATACATCAGAACCCTTTAAGGGAGGTAAGGGACCACATCCCCATGAAACTTTGTTCAGAAAGGGCCCTCACAGTCCTAGCACCCCTGACTCCCCCCAGGAGCCAGCGGGTGAAATCTGAACAGGGTATATAGCGACGCGTGAACTGTGTGCCTGCTCCGCTACTCCGCGGTATCCTGGCTCGAAACTACACGCCTCCAGGTTTCGGAGTTTTAACCCCAGACTACGATTCGCTTAAAAGCCCCCCGCCCCCCCCCCCTCCCCCGGGCAAAAAAAAAGCTACTATTCTTCCTTATAAGGGCAATAGAGGGGTTGTTATCTGTCATCTTTTGCGGGTTCTTCTAAGCCAAACGTAGCAGGCTGTTCGGCCAGGAGGCGCCAACGACTTTTCCGTGTGGATCCCGCTGGCACGTCGCACTCACCACCACCTCAGGGACCCAAATGAACCCCGAAATTGGGACCATATACCCGAAACGACTATAACTCCTACTACGGTAATTTTGGGCCTCAAGCCCATTCTAAGATACCCTACACTACGATATTTCCTACTAAAGTGATGATGGGCCTTAGGCCCTTTTAGGGTTCGGTTTATGGTTTAGGGCTTGAGGTTTGGGGTTTATTTAGGGTTTAGGGTTTAGGGTTTAGGGTTTAGGGTTTAGGGTTTAGGGTTTAGGGGATTTGGTCCCCAAGGCGCCGAGCAATGACTCTGGTCCTTCTTGCCGCTGGCGAAGTAGCCAGGCTCCTGACGATGCGATCCAGGGTTGAGGGTTTAGGGTTTAGGGTTAGGGTTTAGGGTTTAGGGTTTAGGGTTTAGGGTTTAGGGTTTAGGGTTTAGGGTTTAGGGTTTAGGGTTTAGGGTTTAGGTTTAGGGTTTAGGGTTTAGGTTTAGGGTTTAGGGTTTAGGGTTTAGGGTTTAGGGTTTAGGGTTTAGGGTTTAGGGTTTAGGGGTTTAGGGTTTAGGGTTTAGGGTTTAGGGTTTAGGGTCGACTTTGCCGTCGCTCCACCCTCATCATCTCGGGAGGTTTAGGGTCTGTAGGGTTAAACCCTACACCCTAAACCCTGGACCCTAACACCCCAAAACCCTGAACCCTAGGACCCTAAACCCTGAACCCTAAAATCTAAAATCCTTAAACCCTGAACCCTAAACCCCTAAGACCCGAAACTCTGATCCCTAAAACCCTTAAACCCTGAACCCGAAAACCCTAAAGGGCTGCTGATGTTTCAGGGTCCCCCAAGGAAAGCGCCGAAGGGTGTCATAGCCGCTATAGCCAAGACAAGAAGAGCAGCGGCCGGTCATGAAAACTCGCTACATGCTGCGAATTGCTTAAGAACCCCCCCCCCCCCCCCCCCCCCCCCCCCCCCTTCATTATAAGGGTAGCTTAAAGAGGGAGTACTTTGCTTCTGGAACATGTTTAGGTTTTAGGGTTTAGGGTCTACGTTTAGGGTTTAGGGTCCGTGTAATACAGGGTTTAGGGTTTAGGGTTTAGGGTTTAGGGTAGTTCGGATGGTTGATTGGCTCCCAAGTCCAATCGCCAAGGTCTGGACATGTTTTCCCAAACAACAGGAGCATGTTGATGAAAGAACTCAACGGTGGACTCAACCCTAAACCCTAAACCCTACACCCTCACCCTAAACCCTAAACCCAAAACCCAAAACCCTAAACCTAAACCCAGCTGCCTTCGATCCTGCAAGGCCTGCAGAAATCCAGGGACATGAACAGAAACGACGAGGTGTGTAAGTGCAGCAGCGTGGCTTTTCTGAGGATGAGTCCAAGGCCGTAAGTTAGGGTTTAGGGTTTAGGGTTTAGGGTTTAGGGTTTAGGGTTTTGGCTTTTGGGTTTAGGGTTTAGGGTTTAGGACCCTAAACCTGCGTCCCCGAGGCAGCAGCGGTCCTGACAGTCTTGCTGCCCCGTGCCAGCGCGGCTTGCGAAGTCCAGTTCGAGCACTTCCTTGCTCTCGCGGCTCATTAAGGTTCAGGGTTTAGGGTTTAGGGTTTAGGGTTTAGCGCCGTTTAGGGCTCCGGGACGTGCAGGGCGTAGGGTTCATGGGTTTAGGTTGTCTAGAGTACACGGTGTCGAGGGCATGTAGAAGGCATAATATAGGGGCCTGAGTGATAAGAATAGGGTTAGGGTGTTGGGGGGTATTATAGTACAATTTCAAAGGGACCATAAGAGAATATTACTCGCAATTATTCCTAAACCCTAAACCCTAAACCCTAAACCCTCAACCCTCAACCCTAAACCCTCAACCCTCAACCCGGAACCCTAAACCCGACATTGCACGGTCATGCTGATGCCCGTCATTGCACTGCCTGAGATTCAGGTCGCGGGCCTCCTTCGTATTGCCCTAACCCGTGACAGCTGTGGCCCTAAGGGTCCATGGGTTTAGGGTTCAGGGTCCAGGGTCCAGGGTTTAGGGTTTAGGGTTTAGGGTTTAGGGTTTAGGGCTTAGGGATCATATATTTGAGCCCCACAGTCCCTATATAGGAAGTACTCTAAGGCCCAAGTACTCCCTATTTAGGTACATTGGCCCTGAGGGTGGGGTGTTGGGTTCAAGGTTGAGCCTATGGGGTTTAGGGATGAGGGTTTAGGGTTCAAGGTTTGGGTTTTTCAGGGCTTCGGAGTTACGCTTGCAGGTGATTGGCTTTCAGGGTTTTAGTTTACGGTTTCGGCTGCAGGGCTGTAGAGTTTCGGGTCAGGTGCTTAGGGTTCGCAACGTTTCGGCACAGATGCCCCATCATTGCCGGCAAGTGCATCTAGCAGCAGTGGTTGTCCTTGCAAGCAGCCACGTACGCCAGCTTATCTGGCACAACTTACTTACTTACCTATCCGCTTACCCACCTACCTACCTACCTACCTACTTGCTTACTTACTTACTTACTGACACACACACACACACACATGGAGACAAACTCACACACGCACGTGTCCAATCGAAGGTAGCTGGGGAAATCTGGATGCATTCGGAACCTCGTGGTGAGGCTGATGTCTTGGAAAAGCGTTTGAACGAACCTTGGGAGGTTGCCACAGTAGGTTGCCCCTTATACTAACAGTCCTTCATGCAGATTTTCGTACCCCCGATTAAATTCCGACTACGGACTGTTCGTATGGGGGTGGAACATCCCAACCGTTCAACCTAAACCCCAAGGTTTCAAATATGTCGGAACGCCAGGGCTCCAACTGTTCAACTTCAGTTTTCGGCTTTGTTCCCCTCACCCTAACTGCCCCTGAGGATGTTTAGGGTTTAGCGTTTGGGGTTTGGGGTTTAGGGTTTAGGGTTTGGGGTTCAGGGCTTGGGATTTAGGGCTTAGGTTGGGCATTCTCACTTCCAACCGTGTGGTCTCCACACAGGGAAGTATACCCTAAACCCTAAACCCTAAACCCTAAACCCTAAACCCTAAACCCTAAACCCTGAACCAAGCATGGTATGGCCCTTCCTTGTATCTTACCTACCTCTGGGATCAACTTTCGGATTAAATACTTGAAGCACTGGCAAAACAATTAAAAACCAACAGCCAATTGAGGCCGTTTTAACTCTTACAAGCCCCTGTAAGTAAAGCCTTTGAACTGTTAAGCCCAGCCGGGAATTCAATTTTCACTTTCGATGTAGAAGCTTACAGACCTTTAGAAAAACACTAAGAGCTTGTCTGCATGATTTTATAGAGCCCTTAAGCTTTTCAGAATCTTTGTTTCTGTATTCGGTGTCTCATAGGTATATCGCAGCGAAGCCAGACGCCACATCCTACGTACATAAGATGTTGGGCGGGGTTAGGAAAGGGGCATACCACAAAATTGCATCATCTAAGCGCAAGCACAGATCTCGTCTGCACGAGCTCGAGCGTCAATGAACTTGGTTAATCTCAGAACCCCAGAATGCTTTCCTGACACGAAATCAAGGTGTCTTCCGAATGTCAACTAGGAAGGGCCTTAAAATCCTCTGAAGCATGTTCCGAAATAGAATCCTCTTGAGTACAACTCTCTGAAGCACATTCCGAAGTATGATCCTCTTCAACCCTCAACCCTCAACCCTTAACCCTTAACCCTTAACCCTTAACCCTAAACCCTGAACCCAATAGGGGAAATCAAAAACAATCCCAAGGGCCTACCTAGTAAATGTTCTGTAGGTGGGGGGGGGGGGGGTCTCCTCACCATTTGGAGGCCTGGGGCTTCAGAAACCCGAAAAAGTTATACATGTATGTATGTGTATATATATATACATATATATATATATATGTGTATATACATATAGATATATACATGTTCTTCCTCCTAAGAGAAATATTATAGGGATTATTAAACTACTATCTTCTATTCTCTGGGGTTTTTAAGCAAATGGTAGGTCCTGAACTGTGGGACGAGTGAATGTATTGGAACGATGCATCTTCACATGCTATTCGATACACTTGTGCTCTGCACAGAATTATAGCGTCCTTAGCGGGTAGGTACCTAGAAAACCTTGTGGAAGCTGAGGCAGCGCTAGGGAGGAGTGGGGAGCATTCGGGAACCTTGGGTTAGACACACCCCTTGGCTTAGGGTTTAGGGTTTAGGGTTCAGGGTTTGGGGCCCCTTGAACCCCCCCCCCCCCCCCCCCCTGTAGAACACTATAGTGCATGATCACCACAATAAGCAAGACACTGCATGATGAGGCCCTTGGTGAGAGTGGGGGAGAGGTGCAGGTCTCCATACTCCCCTTAGACTTACTGGCCCAAACCCCAAGGAAATAAAAGTGTATAAGAAGCCCAAAAGTTGAAAAGTTGGGTTTTGAGCCAGTAAGTAGAACCTTAATCCGAGCACCTGTTTCATTCATACCCCCCACAATTAAAGACATGTTTTTCGTCGAGAAGCCCGCCGGAAGACTACTTTCCATTGCGGGGTTTTTCGTAAGGGCCAATACCACCACAGTTAAAGAGTTTTTCTCGTCGGGGAGGGGTACAAAAAATCTGTCGGCTTTCTTGTTTTTCTTTGTGAGCTGCAGTTTGCTTCGGTGAAGCTACACATCTTAAAAGTAAAAGCTTTAAAGAAGCCGAAGCTTTGTTTTTCTAGAAGCTGAGGCCCTTCAGAAAGCTAGGATTTCTTCTGTGATTGCTTACTGAGAGAAGTTTTCATTCTTTCCTGAGCTACCCCTTGTGGGCTCTGCCCGGCAAAGACAGCATCACATTTGCAAAAAGGGCGGGGGTCTCATTATCGCGGCGCCCTGCCTTTCTTATTGCGGTGGGGGGAGGGAGGGCCCCCCCCCCCCCAATTAAACAGTTGCTCGGATTAATAAACATAATATTCTTAATATCCTCTTGGAGTATATAATGTAAATATAAACAAAAAAAACCAAAAAAAAATCCCAAGGGGGATATAGGTCTGGGGCGAGTGGGGGAACAGGATGTCCAGCCGCAACAGTCCCATTGCGCCATTTTCTCAAGGCAGTGTTAGTCAGAAGTTAACATGCCCCTTTCGAAAGACTCCTATACAAAACCCTTAACCCTTAACCCTAAACCCTAAATCCTAAACGCTAAACCACTTGGTTGCTTGGGCCATCGCAAACCAAACCGTCCTGCATTCTGCCACGCCGTGCCTTCTGTGCTCAGGGCATCCGGAAGATACCTCGCGCCAACCCAAGCTTAAGCCTAAAGCCTAAAGCCTACAGCCCAAAGCCTAAAGCCTAAAGCCTAAAGCCTAAAGCCTAAAGCCTAAAGCCTAAAGCCTAAAGCCTGAAGCCTAAAGCCTAAAGCCTAAAGCCTAGAGCAAAAGTCCTAAAGCCCAAAGCCTAAACCCTAAACCCTAAACCCTAACCCGAAACCCAAACCCTAAACCCTAAACCGGGCTCTAAACCCTGAACAGGACTCTAAACCCTAAAGCCTGTAAGGCTTGGGGTTTGGGATTCAGAAGGTTTTATGGTTCAGGGTAAACCCTCAAAATCCGAAATGTGTGTATGTGTGTGTGCGCGCAGTGTGTGTGTGTGTGTGTGTGTGTGTGTTTCTGTACTCATCCCCTCCTCCTAATTCCAAATCCCCCCCCCCCCCCCCCCCCGAAATCTGAAATTCGCCTGGGCCCGAAAAAAAGTAAAATTAGGGGGGGGGGGCCTAAACCCTAAAACCTGAATTCCGAAGCCTAGTAAAACCCCAAAGCCTTAAACTTGCCCCGAGCCCTGAATCCTGTCAGCCTTCAGCCCTAAACCCTGAAACCTTAATGGCTCAACTCAAGGGCGAAGGCCCTGAACCCCTCCCCCCTAATTCTCAAACAGGTTTAGTATTGGGCTGGGTGCCGGCAGGGTCCGGGAAAAACAATGTCTAAACTTAGGGGGGGGGGGGGGGTAGTATTAGGGGGAAGGGATTATGGGCCTGCCAGCAAAAAAACAGCTCGGGCAAGCCGCAACATAAACTCAGCATTAAGTAGGATAACCCCAATTAGGGTCGCGCATAGGGTACTTAGAACTCTACTTCGTGCCTACTTACTAAGTTTCCCCCAATCCTCCAAGTAAAATTTAGGCTCAAGCCTGAACGCCCAAGCAAAACCCGAACTCCAAGTGCATCACAGGCGCATCGCCAGCGCTTCTTGTCTGCTGATCCCAGTTATCTCGCTGATTTTCCTTGTATAGGGCATGGCGCAAGATTGAAATGCTCCAAATCCTAAACCCAAAACCCTTGCTCCAAAAGCTTCTGGCTAAATTGGTTCATTTTTGAGGGTGCAGGGCTTAGACGGGCGCCACATCCCGGACCAACATCTGCCTTGGATGGCGAACAACAACCCTAGACCCTAAACCCTAAACCCTGAACCCTGAACCCTAAACCCTAAACCCTAAACCCTACACCCTGAGGGGTTTCGGGTTTAGGGCAGCAATCTGTCGTTTTTCTGCTGGCTGTCCTGCTTCCGTGCGCCTTTTCCCTCTGCAAACTCACCTTGCAAGCCACAGAGCCTCAGCCTACAAGGTGTCAACTCCACAAGAACCTGGACCTAATTTTGAGAACCAGGAGAAACCCTAAACCCTAAACCCCAAACCCCAAACCCCAAACCCCAAACCCTAAACCCTAAACCCAGGTGCCCCTTTTTGGTTTCAAGGGGGTTCTAAAGGAGCCTAACTCTTGAAAGGGGAATCAGGGGGTACCCCAGCCCCAAAGCTCCACCCCCGAAACCCACCCGGAAAGTAAAAGGGCAAGCATCATGTTCCACTCTGTGATCTGAAGATTTTGGCCTCTTCGCCAAACGCTCTTTTGAAGGCTAGGCTTTCCCAAATTCGAGGGCTTAGCAGGGAGAAAGCGGTTCGGGCGGCTAGGGTTGAGGGGCAGCCGAAACCCTGAACCCTAAAATCCAAACCGCTGAGCAAAAGGTACAAGCTTAGGCCTTGGGGTTCAGGGTTTAGGGTTACGCAGGATTCCGTAGGGCCGGATGCCCATGACAACATGGGTCCTGAATCAGAAACTGGGTGCGCGCAAGAAACCCTCGGCAAGTAGGACCATGAAGGATCAATCTACTTGCATACCGTATGTGTAACTTCCCATGATGTTCCCCTACCTGGTGATGCTTAAACAAACCCGATTATAATGAAGGTACCTTTTTGGGGGGTTGGTTACTTGATAAGGGAACCTTGAACCAAAAAACAAGGGCAAACGGGTATCACTGGGCTTCCAAGAACAACCCTAGACCCAAGGGTCCATGTCCCTTATTCATGTATACTTGAGCGCCCAAAGTTCCTATATAGGAAGTACTTAAGGCCCAAGTACTCCCTATTTAGGTACATGGGTGGCTGTCAAAATTATGATCCCTTTTGGGGTACCCTAAATGTTAGGTGCCGTATTATAATAGGGATCCAAAAAGGGACCACACTTGTCACAACCACCCACATGGAATTTTAGAATAGACCCTAAACCCGAAACCGTCTTTTTGGGGGTCGTGGTAGGATTGAAGCCCTATAGTGCCCCGTTTTCATAGCATACCCTTTGCCCTCAACCCTGAACCCTAAATCCTTCTAAGATTTGGGATTTCCTTGTTCAGGATAGGGCTGTGGTTTTCTGTGGAACATGAGGGAACTAGGTATCATCTGCCCCCCCCCGAACCCTGAAACCAAAAACCCTTTGAAGGGGGGTTCTGTAGGGTACCTTACTCCCTCATTCCTTATGGATTGATACGAACCAGCAAGGTTGCCTCTGGATTTGAAAAGACTTGTGTAGAGCCGACACAGAGTTTAGGGTTTGGGGTTTAGGACATCAAAAGTTATTCGCAGCCTTCAACCCTATTTGTGTCTACTTCATAGCCATTAACCTTTCCAAACTGTAGGTTACAAAACCTGTAGGACGGATGAGTGTAAACCTTAGCCCCTAAACCCTAAACCCTAAGCCCTAAACCCTGAACCCTGAACCCTGAACCCTAAACCCAACCCGCACTTTGCTGTGCCAAGCGACCGACGCTGAAGATGGGAACGCTGGCATGACTCACCAGCCGTTGAATGTCCTCCGTGATGCGGCTAGCAGAATCCTGCATCTTCTTCAGCAGGGTGTGGGTCCTGCCGCGGTCTGCGGCTCGACGGCTACTGCAATCCCTCTGACCTCCCCCAACATAAGTTCGACGCAAACCCTAAACCCTAAACCCTAAACCCTCAAGGGCTCTGCTCGGCTTGGGCTGGTACAGCTCCGCTGCCCGACTGATTCCCCCCCGACGTCACGTGCCATGATCAGCTTCTACATGAGCTGGTGCTTTAGGGTTTAGGGTTTAGGGTTTAGGGTTTAGGGTTTAGGGTTTAGGGTTTAGGGTTTAGGATTTAGGATTTAGGGTTTAGGGTTTAGGGTTTAGGGTTTAGGGCTTAGGGTTTTCTTGCGCCTCTGACTTCTAGTAGGAGATCTGAAAGTGTAGGAGATCTAGAATTATAGGGTTCTTAAGGGAGGGGGGTTTAAGGGGGGGTATGTAACCCAAGGTTCCCTAATGCTCCCCGCTACTCCCTAACGCCCCCTAAGCTTCTGTTCCCTAGGTACCAGGGACCGACCCCCATGAACCACCCTCCCTGAAGAACCCTATAATACAGCTGCTCCAAGAGATCCCCTATCCCAACATTGGTGCCGAAGGCCTTTGGACCCTGATCCCTAAACCTTAACCGGGCTGCCGCTGCGGTTTTCGAACTTGAGATTCCCTGGAGAAAAGAAGCCAAGCAAACAAAATGAAAAAAAACAAAGTCCTTTTCCGTTTCATGCCTCAGCTGCTTACTCTGATTTAGGGTTTCCAGACGCGGAACTGAGTTGTGAGATTTTGGCACGCCAAGGCTCCATGTCCCGAGATGTAGCAATTCATGCGGCCATAAGATGCTTCCTTCATACGGCCTTTGGGCCCAAGTGTACACTTATTACACACATGAGCCCTAAGGGATACCGCTTTTTGCCTAGACTGGCAATTGCTCTGAAAACCCTCAACCCTAAACCCTAAACCCTAAACCCCTAAACCCTAAACCCTAACGGTTTAGGGTTGTTTCTGTTGCTTTGATCTGAGGTTTTAGTATCCCCAAAAGGACACCCAAGGCATACATCCACCGATATCTCTTTAAGGCGAATAAGAGCAACCCAAGGTTTAGGGTTTAGGGTTTAGAGTTTGGGGTTTGGGGTTTGGGGTTTAGGGTTTAGGGATCTCTTTTGGGCTAATAAGAGCAACCCAACCTGGCCCGACCTCAAGTGAATCTGATGAGTCTCTTGACCTGTCCCTGAACCTCAGACCGGCGGTTTAGGGTTTAGGGTTTAGGGTTTAGGGTTTAGGGTTTAGGGTTTTAGGGTTTAGGGTTTAGGGTTTCGGGTTTCGGGTTTCGGGTCGGCCAGCTAGCAAAGGAGCTCGAGAGGTAGCCCGAAAGCATCAGCTTCGCCGCGATGTCAAGACATGTGTAGATTAGCTGTTCGTCCTGCTTGCGCACAGGGGGGCGGGCGGAGGACCTTGATTCCCGCGAAAGTTAACTTAAGGTTCAACTCGATCGAATCATGTAGATCTCGACCAGCCACCCAGTTGTGCAAAGCAAGCTGCGGCAACAATCACCCTAAACCCTCGACCCTAAACCGTAAACCCCTAAACTTGCAATAAACGTGGCCATCACGCCGAGAAGCTTCCCTTAAGTAGGTATCCTTTTACCACGCGAATGGTGACATCCGAGATCAGGGTATCTTCTTGGGATCCTCATTATAAGGGAATCCTACTGTTTGGGGATCTATTTTCGGGGTCCCCTATTTTCGTAGGCCCCCGTATAGGGCACCTAATCTGGTTCCTGATTCGGACCTAAACCTAAACTTGGGATGTTCCCCCTTTTGTGTAACAGCCCTTAATCGGGATTATAGTACCCCCTAGTATGATCCCGATTCAGGACTGTTGGTACAAGGGGGAACATCCCAAACCTAAACTTTCATCCACCTCTACCCTCACCTCCAAAAATAGTGACCTACCTCCCTCCGAGAACGACGGAGGGCTACATGTATATATATATATATATACACATACACATGAATTTCTACTCGTACATGTATACATGTATATATGTATATATACATGTATATAAATACCCTCTCTTCCAGGGACCTTCCTTTTGTTGCCCTTGTTTCATGTCACCCAGCTACAATACGAGCAAAAACTTGGGTCTCCACGGTATGCAATATGTGCCGCCAACTAGGGAACAAATGACACCACACACAAACTAAATCAAAACATCAATGCAACCACAACATAAAACAATATACACTAAACAACAACAATAGAATATTTCTGTACTCCGAACATCCCACCCTGCAGGCAAGGATTTTCGAGCTCAATCTGGGGTTGGGCACTCCAGGGACACTCTGGGGATTCTTTGGGGAGAATTTTAGGCTTGCCTGTGCAAATTATGCTTTTCAGACGTCGTGTATATGCGGTATTTAACGAGTACTTCATTAGCATGTCATTGTTGCGCAAACATCACTGCCTGTGTTTTTCAGTTAAAATGTGATGCACATGTTCGTTGTACTCAAATAGTCTTGCAAGTAGTGCTCATCCTAGTCATGCTGAGCTCATAAATTAATGTTCGGGTACTTAGGTCCGCATTTGGTAGTATGAACAAATATTCATTTACAAGTAAAAAGCTAGAATACTTCAGTATAGTACTTAATCAATACTTGGCCAAGTACAAACACCATTTATACAAAAAGAGACGCACACACACACACAACTTGCCTAGAAACAACACAGATTTACGACCTAAGACCTAGAGAAGAACCACGTTGTCCTCTTAATATCGCGTTGGGAGATGCAAGATAAAAGCTGGGTTTAGGGTTTAGGGTTTAGGGTTTAGGGTTTAGGGTTGAGGGTTTAGGGTTTAGGGTCTGGGGCCTATGCGGTGGGTGTCCCACTAGCTGTCCTTCGTTACGCGTGCTCGAGTCTGAGATGACGGACCAAACAACCCTAAACCAACCCCACCCCTAAACCCTAAACCCTATCCCTAAACCCTAAACCCTAAACCCTAAACCCTAAACCCTAAACCCCCACGTGAAGCCCTCTTGCCCCCATATCGGCATCCTGAACATTCGTCATGCTCCCGGCCTGCCATGCCACCCAGCCACAAACGGCAAGAAGGGAGATGACCATGTAGAGTCCTAAGAACACGTGAGGGGTGCAGGGTTTAGGGTTTAGGGTTTCGGGTGGGTTTCGGGTTTAGGGTTTCGGGTTAGGGTCGGAGCTTCAGGGTTCACGAACCCTCCAGATTGAGGGCGCCATTCATGTTCAGAATTGACGTTGGTTTTGCTGGAGCCGCATGGTTGGAAACTTTATCGAGTCTTAGGGGTCGCGGGGCTTGCTTTTGCTTGAAGCCTGTCCCGATTTTTTGGAAGCAGCGTGCAAACTCCCGGCGCGCACAGGCAACACAGCGAACGCTGAACGCCAAACCCCAAGCCCTAAGCCCTTTATATACCCTAAACCCTAAACCCAAAACCCAAAACAAGAAACCCGAAACCCTAAAACTCTAAACCCTAAATCCCAGCCCTAAACGGAAGGGCACAATGCTGGTCCAATCGGACCACACTGGGCTCAGGATTTGGGGTTTGCATGTCCGCCAGCAGGCTTCATCGGCAATACAAACAGATGCCATGACCTCGTGGTCCAGATCGCTTCGGTGTTCAAGGCAGTATGCTAAAGCCAACGGAAATAACCAAAGCTACGGAAATCACCGTAAGAAAAGAAATAACAAAACGGAGCAAGAACAAAAAACAGTTGGTATTCTCCAGGTTCTGGTCATTGTATTTCTGTTGGCGAAGAAAGCCCTGCATTGTTTTTGTTATGGTTACCGGGTACCGTGGAACGCACTGCGTTACGTGCAATCATTGCGCATCTCGTGCTATTCGTGTTTTGCAACTTCAAGATCACCACGAATGGACACACACATCGCAATCCCTCTGCAGCCGCAGATACGGGCTTCTACTATTTGCTCAAGAACCCCCCCCAAAAAAATATTAAATTATCCCTTATAAGGGCAATATTAGGGATTTCTGTTTTAGATTTTGTGAGGGGTCTTAAGCACATAGTAGGCTTAAGTTTGAGGGGACAGGATTCCCCCCGGGCAACCTGGCCCCGCGGACGAGCGGCCGCTAATCAGCGGCTGTGCTGCAAACAGGACGGCCGTCTCCACAGAGTTGTCAAAGCGATACCTGGACAAAACGGACGAGAAACCCTAGGCCTGAAACCCTAAACCCAAAACCCCAAAACCCAAAACCCTAAACCCTAAACCCTATACCCTAAACCACAAAGTCTGCTAAACACCAATACCGGCTGAGGGTCTGGGTTTCCTTAGAGAAGGAAAGGGACGCTTTCCCCAAACACAGTGTCAACACTATATAGGTTTAGGGTGCGGGGTTTAGCGTTTAGGGTTTAGGGTTTGGGGTTTAGGGTTTGGGGTTTGGGGTTTGGGGTTTAGGGTTAGTACCCCCTATTATAGTCCCTATGAAGGGCTCTAGTATCGTGTAACCCTACAGGTACCATACGTCGAAACATGCATGACCTCCTAGGGCCCCAGGAATTCTTGTCGTCCCTTTCGCACCCTAAAGGCACCTGTTTGACCATGAACATGCTCTTGACCCCCTCATTGATAGAACCAGCTGGACCAAACACGCACAGACGCGCCGACAGCCGAGGGACGGATAGACGGACAGACAGACAGACACACAAAGACACACGCGCGCGCACACACACGTTCAAAAGCACGAGTCAAAACCCTAAACCACAAGCCCTCAAGCCAAAAAGCCTGAACTCAAATAGGGCGATAAGTGATCCCACCTTACAAAAATGGGAAATGTTGGGGGGGGGTGGGGGTGGGAATTGGGGCACTACTGGGCCTGAACCCCAAAACCTAAACCCTAAACCCTAAAACTACACCCTGAACCCTAAACCTTAAACCCTAAAACCCTAAAACCTTAAACCCGAAACCCTAAACCCTGAAACCCTAAAACCCAAACCCGAAAGTTCCACTGGAAGGATGACCGGCCAAGCAGCACCAGGAAGGCATGCCCCGCTTGCTCCAGCGTTGCCACCACATAGGCGACGAAGGTCACGTTTATCCTGGACTCTGGGTTAGGGTTTAGGGTTTAGGGTTTAGGGTTTAGGTTTTAGGGTTTCGGGTTTAGGGTTGAGGGTTTAAAGTTTAAGGTTCAGGGCTAGCCCCCAAACCCTCAAACTCAACACCTCCTCCTCCTCCTTGTCCTCCTCCTGCTCCCTGAAGCCCTAAGTGTTGGAACCGTAAACCTTAGAGCCCTAAACCCTAAACCCTAAACCCTAAACCCCAACGAGCCCAAGCCCCCAACAAAATGAACATCAGATTCCCAGACTGCCACCCAGAATCAGCACCCATCGGGCAAACTCGTCTTCAATAACCTTTGGCGTTGCCACGTTGCTCTACCCATGGGTCTAGGGTTTGGGTTCAGGGCTTGGGGCTTGGGGTTTGGGGTTTGGGGTCTAGGGTTTAGGGTTTAGGGTCTGGGGTTTAGGTTGGGATGTTCCCCGTTATACCAACAGCCCTTAATAAGCATAATAATGCGGGGGGGGGGGGGGGGACTACAATCTCTATTAAGGACTTAGTATAAGGAGAAAATCCCAACATACATTGGTTCCCCCAGATTATGGTACCAAGTATCCCCAACGGGACACCCATTATATACACTCACCGATATCCCCAATATACACTCACGAATCACAGGAATACAAACCCTGCTTCAAGATATGTTATATGTCCTACAGTCTGGGAAACATACCTCCTATAGTTATTGGGCAACCTATACGCTTCATGTAGGTGCAAAATTACTCTTCGCACCCATGACTCAGTGTTTAGGGTCGGGGGGCTTCAGTTGCCGACTTGCGCGCACCAACAGGAGCTGCGATTGGACCCTACGCAACTCGACCGGGATTTCTGGCGTTTAGGGTTTAGGGTCTAGGGTTTAGGGAGAGCATGAAGGCACGCAAAAAACTCCCGCCAGAGCTTGGCGCCACGCAACACGAAGAAACTTAGTTGCCCAGTAACCTGGGGGAACTAAAGGTTAACCTCTAGGATTATAAGGGGATTATATTACTCCAAAATGGTTAAAGGTTACCTACTCTACTACTAATACCCTAAACCCTAAACCCTAAAGCCTAAAGCCTAAAGCCTAAAGCCTAAAGCCTAAACCCTAAACCCTAAACCCTAAACCCTCGAAATGCAGCTTCTGACAAAACATCAAATCTCAACCTCTGGAAGCACGCGAAGCCTTTACGACGGGTGCATGGCCCCACCTCCAAAAACCCTCAGCGCAAACCCCCCCCCCCGGTAGGACGAAAGGGTTTAGGAAGTTTAGGGTTTAGGGTTCAGGGTTTAGGGTTTAGGGTTTAGAGTTCGACCCACACGACCCAAACTCTTGAGTACACGAAACCGTTACAAGAGCTTGGGTATAGGAAGTCGTTGTAAGAGTACCTCGCCCGTTTTCCCGAGTAGGCCCAAAGAACACCCGAACCTCCGTAGAAGATTTAGTGAGTATTATGGCATTTTCGGGGTGGCTTATGTTCTCCGCTATGTAGTTCATGTAAAATGAGAAACCCTAAACCCTAAACCCTACACCCTAAACCCTAAACAGAAAATCTGGAAAACTCCGCGACCCTGCAGTACAGTATGTTGGATCTGTACCTTGAACGAACGAAAACACATCCAGCAACTAGGGACAGGTAAGGCCTAAAGCCAGCCCGGAAACGCCCCTAAACCCCAAGCCCTAAACCTTGAACCCTGAACCCTAAATCGCCGAGTCACCACAGCAAGCCAGGAGCACCATGTATACACCACCGTGCATCGAGTGGAGGCAGCCGTCTGCATGGACCCAAGTCCTTTTGCTGGGTTTCGGCTTGGGGCTGACAATACACTTAAACCCTAAACCGTAAACCGTAAACCGTAAACCGTAAACCCTAAACCCTAAACCCTAAACCCTAGACCCTACACCACGATGGTGAGTTCTCTAAATCAGTTCCCTTGTTGGGTGTCTTCAATTTTGAGGACCGCCTTATAGTAAGGACCCCAATCGAACGATAACTTAGCGAAGTGACCGGACAGGCTCTACAGAGGCTAGTGTAGGGCCGAGCTAGACCCGGCAGTGCCCTCTTTTCAAGATGGTGGTGAGGGGCGGCGGAAGGGTTTAGGATTTAGGGTTTAGGGTTTAGGGCTTAGGGCTTAGGGTTTAGGATGTATTTAGGGTTTAGGAGGACAAGAATTTATCGTTCATAGCATGTTGCAAGCAAGGCCGTGAGGCTAGGTGACCCAAAACGGAACGACAATTGGGGGTCCATGCGTAATACGGGGCTCTAAAAAATTACCATGTGCATGCAATTCTTGAATTCTAGCCCCCTACAAAACCTATCCGAACGGCCCCCAATTACAGTGAATACAAATTGGGTTCTAGGTAACCTGTAGAAGCCCAAACCCTCCAAAACCCTGGCACACCTCGAGTGCAGCACCTGACTCAGGGTATGCAGTCGCCCCTAAAAGGCATAAGGTCCCATACCGGCTTCTCACAAAGGATGAACCCAACAGTCGAACTTTGGAACAAGGCTGGGTGAGCATTCTTTAAGATGTTGACTATACTCCCCTAAGAACCTTAACAAAAATCATAGTTTTAATATCCTCTTGGGTTTTATATAAACAAAAAGAAAATCATTCCCAAGGGGGATATAGTTGAGGGCTCAGAGGGGCTTCAAGTTCGTCGCGAGAATGTGCCGTGAGCCAACCAAGGAATCCGCAAGTACACCGACCATCGGCCAGCCCCACATCCAACAATCTTGTCTCGGCAGAACCCTCCCTAAACCCTAAACCCTAAACCCTAAACCCTAAGCCCTAAACCCTAAACCCTATATAAACCCTAAACCCTAAATGGCAGGTGTCTTCGGCTGATCACCAGCGGAATGCTCAGGAAGTTCCAAATCTGCCTGAGCGGCTTTCTCAGGGTAGCTACATGGTCCCTTATAGAACTGGCCCCCTGAAAGCCCCGGAGGACCATACTCCTTTAACGAGGTAAGGGTAACTACCCGTAGAGGTTTAGGGTTTAGGGTTTGGGGTTTAGGGTTTAGGGTTTAGGGTTTAGGGTTTAGGGTTTATGGTTCGGGGGGGGGGGGGGGGTCTCGCTGGGCCTTGCCATCGCCCTCATCGCAAGTAAGCCCTCTCCACGACTCCAAAGAGGCCACAGGAAAGCCACCAAGTGCTAAGCGCCACTAACTAAGCTTGCCGTAGGAGCGGAGAAACATTATGGTTTAGGGTTTAGGGATAGGGCCGGGCGAAATAGAGCAGAGAGGAAGCGGGCAGATGGAGAGGTGGAAGGCAAGCTAGATAGATTTATAGGTAGGTGGATATGCGGATTCAAGATACAGGAAGAGAGAGAGGTCGACGGTTTAGATAAATGGTGAGTGAACAGGCATACCGGTGAATGCATCAGGGACGATACTTATGCTGAAGGCCCCTAAACCCTAAACCCTAAACCCTAAACCCTAAACCCTAAACCCTAAACCCTAAACCCTAAACCCTAAACCCTAAACCCTAAACCCTAAACCCTAAACCCTAAACCCTAAACCCTAAACCCTAACCGTAAATGCTGCCAGAAAACCAGCAATCCCTCAAAACCTTAAACCTTAAGCATGGGACTTCACCCAGGGTTCCCTTCGTACATGCAGTTTTCAAGGCCCTCCAGGCCCAACAAAACAAAGGGGGGTTCAGGGCCTAGGGTTTAGGCTTTCGGCTTTTCTTTCGGAAAACCCTAAACCCTAAACCCTAAACCCTAAACCGTGTGATTTCGGAAACCGGCTTCGCAGGGCTTTCGGGCTTCGGAATTAGGGTTTAGGGTTTATAGGGTTTAGGAGGGTTTAGGGCCTGAATTTAGGGACAAGGGTTTGGGATTCAGGATTTAGGGCCTTTAGGGATTAGGGTTTAGGTTCAGGGTTTAGGGCCTTTAGGGTTTAGGGATTGGGGTTCAGTGTTTAGGGTTTTTAGGGATGAGGGTTTAGGATTCAGGTTTTAGGGCTTTAGGGTTTAGGGATTGGGGTTTAGCGTGTGGGCATTGTGACAGCAGTCTCAGCAGGCGTGCTGCCATTGATCCTCACTTGCATGCTGGGCTGTAAGCCATGAGATTGCAGTGCTTACGGTTCACGACCTGCGCCGCAAGAACCATGCCATGACGCTTCTGGCCACGTGTCTCACTCTTGTCTGTGGTTTTGAGGACTGAGCCTCAGTTTCGTCAGGCTATGCGGCTGCTCCTTGTTATACGAGGAAAGCCTATACGGGCCTGAAGTGATTCCCTAAACCCTAAACCCTAAACCCTAAAACCCAAACCCCAAACCCTAAACCCTAAACCCTAAACCCTAAACCCTAAACCCTGAACCCTAAACCCTAAACCGTAAACCCTAAACCCTAACCCTAAACCCTAAACCCTAAACCCTAAACCCTAAACCCTCAACCCTAAACCCTAACCCTTTCTTTACATGGGTCCCGATGTCAAGCAAGATTTTCGGCGGCAGGGTGACCGTCTGAAGATGTCTGAGACTAGAGCCTAGGGTGTATTTCGACCTCCCTGGAACAAACAACCCTCCAGCCCTAAACCCTAAACCCTAAACCCTAAACCCTAAACCCTAAACCCTAAACCCTAAACCCTAAACCCTAAACCCTAAACCCTAAACCCTGAACCCTGAACCCTAAACCCTAACCCTAAACCCTAAACCCTCCAGCCCTAAAACCCGATGACCCTAAGCCCTGAAGCCTACGGCCCGAAGCCTTGTGCTGAATCTCGGAATCGAGACCCCTAAAATGTACTTCTTTTGGATAACAAGTTATACTAACCAGAAGTCCTGTGTGGGAATACAACTAAGGATCAACCCTAAACCCCAAACTCCAAACCCCAAACCCTAAACCCTAAACCCGAAACCCTAAACCCTAAACCCTAAACCCTAAACCCTAAACCCTAAACCCAAACTCTGGGCGGCGCACGCTGTTACAAGGTTCCTCCCCTCCTGGCTCTTGCAGGCTTTGGGGCTCTTTGGCGTTGAGAAGTCTTGCCGAACTAGTTCTGTGATTGGAGCGTCTGTAGGTACAGAGGCCGGCTGCGACATACATAGGTAAAGTCCATTAAGGTTTGGGGTGTAGAAGGTGACCATAATTTAAAGAACTCACCTATAGCCTTTGTAGCCCAGCAACCATACTATAATGAGGGTGCCCTTTTTGGGAGTTGGTTTCTTTATAAAACGCAAAACAAGGGCGAAAGGGTACGAGGAGTCCCCCTGCGCTAGACCCCCAAGCCCCAAGCCCCAAGCCCTGAACCCTAAACCCTAAACCCTAAACCCTAAACCTGATTCTTCCTTCTACACGACACAGCACATATTAACAACACCTCACACTGGAACCCTAAACCCTCGGCCCTGAACCCTAAACCCTGAGCCTTAAACCCCAAACCATCCACAGCCCTGAACCCTAAACCCCTGGTTCTTGGTAGGTAAGGAGGGAATGAGGGTCCTATATATTCCTTTTAAGCCTTATAAGGGAGTAAATGGGGCCCGAATTCCCTCATTCCCTACTACGCGCCAGCCAGCCAGCAAACCCTAGGCGCTGAACCCTAATCCCTGTGCCTTATTGTTCAGAAGTGCACTAGGGTTAGTGCCCGATGTTCGGAGTTGCTTTATCACTTATGTGTATAAATAAGTAAATAAATAAATACAAATAAAAATATATATATATATATATGTATAGGTATATATATATATATATACATATGTGTATATGTACATAGATAAGACAGGGTTTAGAAGCTAGGGTTTCAAGTTTAGGGTCTAGGGCTTATGTTCTGGGTTTAGGGTTTAGAGTGTATCTTGTGGGCTTATAGGGCATAGGGTTCAGGGTTTCGGGCTTGGGGTATAGGGTTCAGGGTTTAGGGTTCAGGGTTTAGGGTTTAGGGTTTAGGGTTTAGGGTTTAGGGTTTAGGGTACGAGACTCCTTGAGGCGTGAGCCATGTGGTGCTTCGGTGGGATGCTGGGCGCGGCCAGAAGCAATTGAATACAAAAGCGTCAAGCCTTCAGCTGCTCGGTCTGGGGTTTAGGGTTTAGGGTTTCGGGTTTCGGGTTTAGGGCTAGGGTTTAGGGCTTAGGGATTGGGGCTTAAATTAAGGCTTAGGGTTCAGGGTTTTAGGGGTTAGGGTCTAGGACGCAGGCTTTGGGGGCTTTGTTGTTGGCCGACAAAAACATAGGTGCTGGGTGGATTTGAGGATTCAGGGATTATCCGAAAATCGCTTATGCTACGGACCCCTGCTTCGCGACTGCCCGAACTCCTGTGTTCGGGATGAGGATGAGGACTGAAGGACAATGGCGGCCGGAGTTATGAGGACTGGAACCCCCTAATATGCGGTTTGACCCTGAACCCTAAACCCTAAACCCTAAACCCTGAACCCTAAACCCTAAACCCTAAACACTAACCCTAAACCCTAAACACTAACCCTAAACCCTAAACCCTAATAGGGTTTAGGGCTTAGGGTTTAGGGGTGTCGGGGCATCAGGCTCATGGCGCTGTGGGCTGCCGTGCAATTCTAAGCCCCACATGGTCAGTTGTCTAAACAATTGCCTGCTGGTAGGGTAGGGGTGCCCTAAACTTGAGGGGCCGACTATGAACGTGAAGCCCTAAACTCTAAACCCTAAACCCTAAACCCCAATCCCTAAACCCTAAACCCTCAACATCCCGAAGCCCTAAACCCAATGACCACGAAAGTGACTCGTGACAGAGCTTGAAGCCTAAACCTTCCCCCCTCGAGTTGCAGTAGCTTGCCAAGATGCATATGCTCCGCTCCACGTACCGGAGTGTGTATACTGGCCGAGGGCCACCGAAAGAAAATCGATCAGTGCGAATCCAGAGATCGCGGGCTTTGGGCATTATGCAGTAGTTCGCCCCAAGTACCTGCATTTCCAGGACCTATCCTTAATAAACCCCACCCAAACATGCTCGAACTCCTTAAGGATCGGAGCACCATCCACCTTAACCCTAAACCCTGAACCCTAAACCCTAAGCCCTAAACCCTAAACCTACTACACCCTAAGATTTTAGGATGCATGCGACGGGTTAGAAGCCCTGGCGTTGGGCAGTCCCAATGATAGCCCGACTTGCATCCCACTTACTACATTCCCCAAGCCTTGCTTCAAGGATATCCCTAAACCCTAAACCCTAAACCCCAAACCCTAAACGGTTTAGGCCAGGGTTCAGGGTTGAGGGCTCGAACTAATGTTAGACACTCGCTCTGTGAAAGGCAACAGGAGCCTACTCTGCAAGCTCAAGTCGCTGCAAGCTCAAGTCGTGCATTGGGGGCGACGGGGGCTAAGTCCATAAACCTGGCTGCAGGACGGTGTTCAGAAATCTCTTGTTTCAAGAAATATGGGTGTGGACCCGGCTGAGATAAAGAAAATCCAGGGTCTGACGGCAAAGTTCTGCTGATTCTCCAGTGTCGTCTCTGAGTTGCACGTATACTGTTCCCGAGACTACGACCCCAAGCTCGGTGTTTTTCAAGCTCCAAAACAGCTTGCCTGGAACTCTGACCCCCACCAAAATTCTCCTACGCTGCCCATCCACACCTACCCCCCGCCCACCCCCAAATCCCTAAACCTGAAGGCCTGCATTCTGGGAGTTTCGTCGCCCGGAAAACTCCAAAAATTGCGTCCAAGAACTGGTTCCCAACCAGTCATTGCCAAAAGTGTGCAGGTTTAGGGTTTAGGGTTTAGGGTTTAGGCTTTAGGGTTTAGGGTTTAGGTGTGGAGTTTTTCTTCGGGGGCTCAGGCGGCTTAAGGCGAGTGCTAGCTTCGCAAAATCCGAACCCTCACCTTTTTAGCACTCAGACCAGAGCTGCCCGGAGCAGACATTTTTTACTAGAGGGGCTTAGGGTTTAGGGTTTAGGGTTTAGGGTTTAGGGAGCCTCTTCCGTACTGTGTTTGGGCTCGGTGAGCTTTCTGAGAGAACATAGCCCTTAGCAAGGGAAAGGATAGCAGGGGGGGGGGTCCTACGACTTTTGCTCCCCGCCCACCCCGCACCCAAAGAAGGGCTTAGGGTTTAGGATTTCGAATTTTGGGTTTAGGGTTTAGGGTTCAGAGTTTAGGAATCTAGTAGGGATCCGCAGGGGCCATTCCCCTGGTCATGGGTGGTTCTCGCTGTACCCCAACTGGACGATGCCAAGGGTTGCAGGTGTGTATATCCCTTAGAATACACCCTAAACCCTAAACCGCAGGGTGTGTGTGTGTGTGTGTATCTAAACCTGAAAAACCCTAAGCCTTCCAGGCCCTAGACAGCCGACACACTGAAAGGTCGACGTACTGCCCACTCGGTGTCTATTCGAAAAGGAGTGACAGGGTTCTGCGTTTGGGCTTTGGGGCTGTTTTGTGCTTCGTGTTTTGGGGCTTCCAGGCTGACTAGGCAGGGTTCAAGAGCTGCAGGCTGAAAATCCACGACCTTCAAGACTGGTGGGTCTTGGGAATTCTCTTGGGCCAAAGGCGCACAGCACAGGACCAGCATAATCTTGTTGTCATCCGTGGAAATCTGTGATGGCAGACTCTGCACACTAAATTCCACCAGGACCGCCATCAGCTCAAAAGCACACGCCTGTTCTGCACAGGAGGCGACGCATGAACATGCATGTGTGTTTGCACAGATGTGTAAACGCACACACATGAATCGCTAATTATAGGCCCTGAACCCTAAGGCCTGACACCCAAAACCTAAACCCTCAACCCTAAAAGTATGCTTCTTGCAAGCGGTGCGCCGCCAAGCAAACGGCTGCTGCGATCAGGAAGAGCAACTCCATCCTGCGTGACGCGGACACCTCGGTAGATATCACAACCTGAGACCCACAATCTGAGCCCTAAACCCTAGCCCTAAATCCCAAGCCCTGAACTGCAAACCCTAAACCCTAAACTCCCTAAACTCCCTAAACTCCGTAAACTCCCTAAACTTCCTAAACTCCCTAAACCCCCTAAACTCCCTAAACTCCCTAAACTCCCTAAACTCCCTAAACCCCACAGCTCTGCTCATCTTTGGCCACGCTGGCATCCTCGTGAGGCCACTGCTGGCTAATTCCCGCGTAACATACCTTGGTTGGCCGGTTGGCAAGTTCTGAAAGGTTTAGGGTTAGGGTTTAGGGTTTAGGGTTTAGGGTTTAGGGTTTAGGGTTTAGGGTTTAGGGTTTAGGGTTTAGGGTTTAGGGTTTAGGGTTTAGGGTTTAGGGTTTAGGGTTTAGGGTTTGAGGTTTAGGGTTTAGGGTTTAGGGTTTAGGGGTTACGAAGAATGATCCTCTTAACCCAAAGAAGAGAAATGCAAAAGCAAGTGTTCACGGGCCGACCCAGATACTGCCCAGGCGGAGAAAGCTATGGTCCTCAGTTTGGGGTCGGCCTTACAACTCTTCCATTCGGGTTTGGGGTTTGGGGTTTGGGGTTTAGGGTTTGGGGTTTGGGGTTTGGGGTTCAGGGTTTGGGGTTTTGGGTTTTGGGGTTTGGGGTTTGGGGGTTTGGGGTTTGGGGTTTAGGGTTTGGGGTTTGGGGTTTGGGGTTTAGGGTTTGGGGTTTGGGGTTTGGGGTTCAGGGTTTGGGGTTTTGGGTTTTGGGGTTTGGGGTTTGGGGGTTTGGGGTTTTGGGTTTAGGGTTGGGTGTTTGGGGTTTGGGGTTTATGGTTGAGTTCCGGAGTTCTTTAGGGCCTCGTATCGACCAGGACGGGCTGTCATAAAAGAGAACCCCTGAAAGAGGCCCTTTATACCGTGTGCTTGTGGGAGCCTAAACCCTAACAAATGGGAACAAGTGCCTACTCTGGATCCTAGGAAAGTTTACGTACGCGGGCCTAAACCCTAAACCCTAAACCCTAAACACTAAACCCTACAGGGCCTCCTTGCAATTGCAAGGATCAGCAGCGAAGTAGCATTGGCCCAGTGCTGAAGGAGCCGTTGGACCTTCTCACGCTCCTTAGATGCGGAGCGCGGTTATGCTCAAGCCTCATAATCCTGCATCCCCTAGGCTTCAAGTCCGAAACGGTTTAGGGTTTAGGGTTTAGGGTTTAGGGTTTAGGGTTTAGGGTTTAGGGTTTAGGGTTTAGGGTTTAGGGTTTAGGGTTTAGGGTTTAGGGTTTAGGGTTTAGGGTGTAGGGTGTAGGGTGTAGGGTGTCGGGTGTATGGTGTAGGGGTTTAGGGTTTAGGGTTTTGGTTCTAGATACCCCCAAACCCTAAAACCTAAACCCTAAACCCCAAACCCTAAACCCCTACACCCTACACCCTACACCCTACACCCTACACCCTACACCCTAAACCCTAAACCCTAAACCCTAAACCCTAAACCCTAAACCCTAAACCCTAAACCCTAAACCCCAACATGTCGCATGGTGTGGCTCCTTGCTGCGACGCGTCCGTCCACGCCATGCCTGCGACTCATCTAAGGGTAGTTCTATGGGCCCTTAAACAGGGACCATATACCCTGGACTACTATAATTCCTATTCAGGGTTTAGGGTTTAGGGTTTAGGGTTTAGGGTTCATTTCGTCCCCAAGATATGGGCCCTGAATATGGCGTAGGGTGTATATGGGGTATATCAGGGGTCCTTTTTTTAAGGGCCCATACTAAGGGGTGTAGGGTGTAAGGAGTATATTGGCGGACAGGCCTTAAGGCCTTGTAAACCCAGCAGGCTTTCTTAGGGGCTGCTATAGCGCAATCGCCCATCATGGTATGTGTGGTGTCCGAAAAACAAGTTATGTATGGGTAGGGGCTCCTGCTATGAGGATTACCAGTATTTCCCCCTTCACGTTGGGAATGCCCCCCCTCTCTCTATACATATTTGTAAAGACAGAGAGATAGATAGATAGATAGATGTAAATAAGCATACATGTGTATATATATATATATACATATATGTGTATACACATATCAAGGTCACTTCTCTACATTGAGGTTTTTTGGGTCACTGTTATAAGGCGGCCCCCGAGCATCTCGACTTGGCGTGTAGGGTTTGGGGTTTAGGGACCTGGTGTTTGGGGTTTCGGCCTTGTTCCTTGAGGTTTGGGGTTCAACATATTGAGGTTTAGGGTTGAAGGTCTAAGCCGCACGACAGGGTTCAACTCCAAAACAATCCCCTAGATCGGCTCTGGGCATCTTAGAAAGATTAACTGAAGAGAAGTCTGATCGGTTAGGTTTAGGACTTCTAGAGGTTCGTGTGCAACTTGCTGGCTCAGGGACCATAGCAAGCAGGACTAGGGTTTAGGGGCGCAGGGCTTAGGGTTCAGGGCTTAGGGTTTAAGAGTTCTCGAATCTAGAAGTCCCTAAACCCTAAGAAAACCCTAAACCCTAAACCCTAAAGGGCATAGGATTGCATGCAGCTGAAGTGCCCCTTGTGTCGGGTTGTCCTACTTGCAGCTGGGCTTCTAACCTGCTCAAGCTCTCCCGGCCTTACCTGAAACAAAGGAAGTACACCTGGGCCCGTTCCTAAACCCTAGGCCCTGAACCCTTAAACCCCTAGACCCTAGACCCTAGACCCATCTCCTAAACCCTAAACCCTAAACCCTAAACCCTAAACCCTAAACCCTAAACCCTAAGCCCTAAACCCTAAACCCTAAACCTATCATGATTGCAACGGACGCGACAGCCAAAGATCTCTTGCGCTCACAGCGCTGCGGCTCGGGAGGGCGTTACCCCTAAGGATCCTTGTACCTACATAGTAGATACCTGGGCCCTAAAGCTACTATCTGGGTGTAGGGTTAAGGGTGTTCAGGCCCAAGTACCCTAAACCCTAAACCCTAAACCCCTAAACCCTAAACCCTAAACCCTAAACCCTAAACATACCCTACCGGTACCATGGACCCTTTGGTTGCCTGCATGTCTGAGCCGTTCTTGGAACACCCGTCTGACCATCAGGTCCAAGTTACTCAGGAGAGACCTAGGGTTAAACGCGACGCCCTAAACCCTAAACGCTAAACCCTAAACCCGAAACCCTCAAGACAAAATAGATAGAAATTGTATGTGGTCTTATTCTGAAGTTTCCGAGTTATTTGTCTAAACAGCTGACAAACTGTTTTGAAGTAAATTAATCCAAAACACCTCTGAGGCCAAATGCTCAATGTACTTAACATCTCCTCCTCCCTCTCCCCTCCTCCTCCCCCTCCTCCTCCTTCCTCCCTCCCCTCCTCCCTCCCCTCCTCCCTCCTCCCCTCCCTCCTCTCCTCACCCCTCCTGCTCTCCTTCTCTCTCATCCCCTCCTCCTCCCTCCCCCCCCCCCTCCCCCCCCCCTCCCCCCCCCCTCCCCCCCCTCTCCCTCCTCCCCCCCTCCCCACTCCCCTCAAAAATGAAAACATAGTTCCGAAAAAAAACAAAGCGTTTCGTTCAAAACGTTATTGGGACCCAAACCCTATACAATTTCTAAAAACCCTAAACCCCAAACCCTAGGGTTGCTTTAAGCCTGGGATTTCTTTTCACTTAAAAACCCCTGAAAAACCAAAGCCCGAAGCGCTGCCCCGCCTGCAGCCAAGCCCTTAGACTGCGAAGGCAAGCTGGCAGAGCCATGAAGCGTGAGAGTCGGTTAAATACAGGTTTAGGGCCTTCCAACTGAAGGGTTAGAGGCATGAGTTCGGGTTTAGAGTTTGGGGTGTGTATAGGGTCTTTAGGTAAGCCCTAATCCCTCAACCGCTATGGGTTTAGGGTGAGAGGAGCCAGACCGCAGAGAGTTAGGGTTAGGGCATGTACAATGCATAGATGCTTCGGCATCCCAATGGGTCTGATTTGTAAAAGGTTCAAACCCCCAACCCTAAACCCTAAACCCTAAACCCTAAACCCTAAACCCTAAACCCTAGCTATTGGAAGCTCTGGAAGACTGTGACTTGACCGGAACGGCAAAACACGCCTGAGAACTAAACTCTCAGGCTAGTTTCATGGGCCCTTAAATATGACCCCCCGGCCTCCGTTCAAGGGTTCTGCACCCCCCCCCCCCCCCCCCCAAATTTGTAGAGGGTATAATAGCGGGTACGTAAGAGGTCCCCTTTTGAAAAGGCCCATAGTCAGGGACCATGCAACTAACCTAAGATAAATTGTCTAGGCCAGTGCGGCCTTGAGCAAACGGTTGCGGGGCGAAGATGTTGCAGGTCATGACGGCACAACATGAGGTCTAGGGTTTAGGGTTTAGGGTTTAGGGTTTCGGGTTCAGGGCCTACAGGGTTTAGGGCTTGTAGGGTTTATGGCTCAGGGTCTAGGGCTCCAGTTCAGGGGCCTTACAGGGTTTACAGGGCTTATGGTTCAGGGTTTTGGGGCTTTAGGGTTGAATTATAGGGTTTAGGGTTCCAAGGTGTACATGTGTGGACGGTTGTCTGCAAAGGCTTGTTTAGGGTAAGGGTTCCAGCTTGTCTACACCAAGCCTGAAACTAGCGGCTTGGGGTTTAGGCTTTAGGGTTTAGGGTTTGGGGTTTAGGAAAGCCTGCTTAGGAAACCCTAAAGCCTAAACCCAAAGCCACAAACCCTAATTATGTTCGGGCTCAGGGGTCCAAATAAACATCGAGTTCTTGCTTGGTTTTACGGGCATTCGTATTTAAGTTGGGGGGGGGGAACCTAAACCCTAAACCCTAAACCCTGGTGACAACAGGAGACCACTGCGTGGGTTGTCGTAACGCCTAGAAAAATTTCCCACAACCCAAAAAACACTTGAACCTAAACCCTTGAACTCCGAAACTTCTTCAACCATACACCCCTTAAGCCCTATACCCTGAACCCCTTGAAGCCTTAAATCCCCACGGATCCCCGACCTGCAGAAGCTCTGAACCTTAAACTCCTCATAGGGTTTAAGGTTCAGGGTGTAGGGTTTAGGGTGCAGGGGGTTCGGGGTTTAGGGTTACGGCCTGCTTTTGCAGCAAGGGTGGGAGGGAGGGTTCATCAGGCTGCTTTGGGGTTGTTGAGCCTTACTTGGGGAAAATATGGGGCCCTTTCACCCCCCCCTCCCTTCCCCCCCTTGGTTCCTTATGTCTAGGGGTTGCATCTTGGACCCTAAGACAGGTGTATTCTGGCGTTTTGGGGGCCCTTGTTGAAGATCGGGCCATATCGAGAGTACATGTTAAAAGGAACCTCCTAGGGGTTCAGTACAACCTTAGGGCTAGGAGCCTTGATCCCTTGATGATGAACTTAGTTGTCCAGAAACCCGGGGGAACTAGAGGTTAACCTTTAGGAGTATGAGGGGATTTTATCACCCCCAAACCCTAAACCCTAAACCCTAAACCCTAAACCCTAAACTCCAAACCCTAAACCCCAAAAAAGGTTAAGGGCTACCTACGCTACTACTAGGTGGTGAAAAGACGAAAGCTTCGACCTCGTCATCGAAGCCAAGCTGTGCGGGAGGTGCACAATGAGGGAGTACTCCTGGAAACCCGAAACCCAAAACCCAAAACCCAAAACCCTAAACCCGTAATAAACCCTAAGCCCTAAGCCCTAAACCCTAAACCCTAAACCCTAAACCCTAAACCCTAAACCCTAAACCCTAAACTCCAAACCCTAAACCCTAAACCCTAAACCCTAAACTAAACCCAAGGCTCATGTGGGATGGGCTTGTGACTTCGGCGTGGGGTTCACAAACGGCTGAGTTTGGCGCGTCTTGGATGTCGCGATGGCAGACTCCACGTGGTCAAAAAAAGGTCGCGCTTCTAGGATGACAGCCAAGGGACGAAAGGAGGGACCCTTATAAGGGACCTTCAGGGGGTTATGTAGGGGCTATTTAGGTACATGGGGACTAGATGCGGTATGTATAGGGGAATAAGATTATACCCCGTAAACAATTGCTGTTTGTGGTCATAGGCTGTACAAGCAAAAACCCGGGCATAGGCAGGGCAGGCACAGTGAAAGACCACCATTCTGATGCTTTAGTGAGAAGGGTCTTCAAGGGACTAAACGAGAGACCCCGCTTTTAGGGAACTTGGATGTATATATATATATATATGCATATGTATTTATATATATATATACATATATATATAATATAGGGTGATATAAAGGGGAACAAGATTTAGGGTCCCTTCTAAGGGTCCCTCCCCCTAAACCCTAAACCCTAAACCCTAAACCCTAAACCCTAAACCCTAAACCCTAAACCCTAAACCCTAAATCCTAAACCTTAAACTTCTACCCAGGGTCCCTTCTAGGGGTCCCTCCTTGTTTCCTGTAAGGTGTTGGGTTGAAGGTTTGGGGATGGGGCAAACCCCTGAACCCTGAGCCCCAGATCGAACCCCGTTGTCGCGGTGCAGTCTCACTTAGGTTTAGAGTTTAGGGCTTAGGGTTTAGGGTTTAGGGTTTAGGGTTTACTCTCCAAGTTAGGCTCGAGAAACGGGGTCGAGAATTTGCGGAGAGCCGGGAAGGGGCAAGGGGGGGGGGGGGGGGGGGGGGGGTCCGGGAAGGCCCTAGACCCTCAACCCTCAACCCTCAACCCTCAACCCTAAACCCTAAACCCTAAATCCTAAACCCTAAACCCTAAACCCTAAACCCTAAACCCTAAACTAAACCCCAAGCAAGCCGTATTTCCCACACCCTACGCCCTAAGCTCTAGAATCCCAGACCCTGATGGCCCGAAGCTGCACATCTTAGCCCGAAAATCCTTCGAGCCCAGAAGACATAGGTAATAAGGGTACCCTTTTGGGGCCTGGTTACTTGATAAGGGAACCCTACAACCAAAAAAATGGTGAAAGGGCGCCACTGGGCCTTCATGAGCCCTACAAACCCTTAAGAAACTCCAAACAGAAACCGAAAAAAAACCCTTACCTAAGCCCTATTTACTTTTTTGTTAACGTCAAAAAACCTTATGAAACCTATTTAGGTTTCAAAAACCTTAGCCGTTTGGTGCCTCAAAGGCCGCCCTGACGACAAAAGAGTTGGCCATGCCCATGACCAGGCGCATCGCCCAGGGCGAGCGGGGAGCGCTTGGCTTGTCTGAGGTTCAGGGTTTAGGATTTAGGTTTAGGGTTTAGGGTTTAGGGTTTAGGGTTTAGGATTTAGGGTTTAGGGTTCAGGGCTTGGGGCTTCCAGGGTGTGGTGTTTACAGTCCAGGGTTGGGGACCCAACAAACCCTGAACACAACGGACCCTCTCAAGAAGCCGACTCCTGAAGAGGGACCCGGGCTCAGGGAACTTATTGCATAGAGACGTAGGGTTATAAGCACCCTAGAGTGGGGATCTCCTAATTAGCTACTGATGTATAGCTGGTGGCCTCTTTATCTGTTACCCTTATACCTGAATATGGCGCCTAGATACCCTAAGAAGAACCCCCCCCCTACAAAACACCTACAAAACATAAACCCTACCTAAAGAGGCCACCAAGCAATATGATGTATAACCCTACTTTCCAGAAGTCCTTGTCCCTGCTGTGATCTTGGCCCATGCACATCGCTCTTGAGCCCCTGCTGAGCCATCCTTGCTGCATGGCAACAGAGTCACAGTTTTTGCAGGACCTTCAAGCAAGCCCGAAACCCGAAACCCTAAACCCTAAACCTAAACCCCAACTGGGTCACTTGAAGCCACTAACCCTGTGGGTCCAGGAATGATTTCGGTCGGGCCTTAAAGCCTTCTGTATGAAAGTTAGTCCTATCTGAGATCAACCCCAAACCCTAAACCCTAAACCCTAAACCCTAAACCCTAAACCCTAAACCCTAAACGCCTAAACCCTATCCTAAACCCAACGAACACAACATCATCCCCCAAAGGCCTAGCTGGCTGGTGACGGATTTAGGAGCCATTTCGATTCCCAGCCTCTATTCGGTACCCTAAACCCTAAACCCTAAACCCTAAACCCTAAACCCTAAACCCTAAACCCTAAACCCTAAACCCTAAACCCTGAACCCTGAACCCTGAACCCTGAACCCTGAACCCTGAACCCTGAACCCTACACCTTCACATGCTTCACAGGTGGCTCAGACGGTGCTTCCAGCGGCAACTCATGGTCTGAAGTCCCATAAACCCTCAACCCTCAGCACTTTGAACCACGGGTTTAGGGTTTAGGGTTTAGGGTTTAGGGTTTAGGGTTCAGGGTTCAGGGTTTAGGGTTTAGGGTTCCTTCTAAACAAGGGTACATGCATCTAACTGCAAGCTGCACGTCCGCGCGAGAGGATTCCCCCAACAACCCCCCCCCCACCTCACAACCCGGACACAACAAACCAGAAGAGAAGCGCACAAACACCCCAAAAAAGTCCAGCAACAAATTTATACGTCAAACCCTCACTGAAACCCCTAAAACCCCTACGTAACCCACCCCACACCCCCAAAACCCCTAAAACCCTGAAACCCCAAAGCTTCATGACCTGGGTGCCTCGTCGGGAGGCTCAGGCTCATCAACATAGCCCGGCCTCATGCGGGTAAGAGGGCCTCAGGGTACTCTGGGCTCGAAGATGGTTGGGGTTTAGGGTTTAGGGTTTAGGGTTTAGGGTTCAGGGTTCAGGATTTCGGGTTTAAAGTTTAGGGTTTAGGGTTTAGGATGCGGGGTTGAGGCTTATGCCACTCATTCGAGTGGTGTGCTTCAGTATTGGGGCGCTTGCTGCTGCAGTCAGCGTGAGGCCAATGTCTGCAGGTCTAAGTGCAAAAGTACCGAAGCGGGCCCTACTTTAGAACAAACGTTAAAGAGATTGACAACCCTAAACTCTAAACCCAGAACAAGCAAAAGGCAAAGAGGGCTCCCCTGGGATTCTCAGTCCCTAAACCCTATACACCCTAAGCCCTAAACCCTAAGCCCTAAGCCCTAAAACCCTACACCCTAAGCCCTAAACCCTAAACCCTAAACCTTATGCACCCCGAAAACCCGCAAACCCTGTGGTCTCAGCTCGTCTCTCTGGCACCGGCGCGGTCCACTTTCCGAACTCCTGGATTGGGGTTTAGGGTTTAGGGTTTAGGGTTTAGGGTCTAGGGTCTAGGGTGTAGGGTTCAGGGTTTCGGAGGGGAGGGGGGGGTAGTATCAAGGTGGGTAGTAGGGAACCCATCGGGATTATTAGGGTCGAAGGGTTGATCCTCATGGATGTGAACCACAACCCTGGACCCTGCACCCGAACCCTGTACTTCAGAAGGACACCTACTAAAACAGGCCTAGCTCAAACATCCTGGCCCTCAACCCTCAACCAGCAAACCTCTTCCATTTAAACCCCAAACCCCCAAAAAGCCCAAATGCTTACCAACCATCCACTTTAACTCAGTAGCCCAGTAACCATATTATAATGAGGGCACCCTTTTTGGGGTTGGTTACTTTATAAGGGAACCCACATTCCAAATCAAAGGGTAAAGGCACCACTGGGCTACTGAGATCCTAAGCCCAGAACCCTAAACCCTAAACCCCAAACCCTAAACCCTAAGCCCTAAACCCTAGACCCTAGACCCTAAACCCTAAACCCTAAACCCTAAACCCTAAACCCTAAGCCCTAAACCCTAGACCCTGGACCCTAAACCCTAAACCCTAAACCGTAAACCCTAAACCCTAAACCCTAAACTCTAAACCCTAAACCCAAACCCTAAACCAAAACTTTGGTTTAGGTTTGGGTTGCGACTCGGAGAACTCCCCCGCTCCACGGGCCTCGTCCTGGGACGCAAATCGCCGCGCCACCACATGCGGCGGGCGGATGGCCCTGTCGTGGGGGTTTTGAACCCTAAACCCTAAACCCTAACCATAAACCCTAAACCCTAAACCCTCCACTCTAAAAACTAAATTTTAGGGCTTCAGAAGGGCTTGTGGGTTTTAGGGCTTGTGAGATGGCAGGCTATGGTAGGGCTTTAGGGTTTACACGGTTTGGGTTGAGGCTTTGACGGTCTTATCATGTTTAGGGCGCTACAGGCACTCCCGGAACTGCGAAATCATTCAACCATAACCGCACAGGTCCTAGGCAGCCTACGGAACTGAAAGGGGGGTTGAAGGGTTTGCCATTTACAGGGTTCTTGAACCCCGATTAAGGCTTAACGTTTAGGACTTGAGGTTCCCTAAGGGTCCATGTACCTATATCGTCTATACTCAACCCTAAACCCTAAACCCTAAACCACGTTTCGGGGGGGGATTTTGTTTCGGCGCAAAGGCTCAAGCGAAGACATCAAAACTCACACGTCCAAAGCACCTCAAACAAGTCGCAAGTGAACTTGCAGAACAGCAGATCACAAGCGATAAAACAGAAGCACGAATGGCACAAGCGAGGGAAGATCCATCGAAACCGTTTGGGCGTTGCTCGAAGGCTTAGGGTTTAGGGTTTAGGGCTTAAGTCTCACGGTAGCATATCCGAAGCCCTTGCTTAGTTGCTGAGTTCAGAAGCCCCCAAAAAGTGTACACTTTCAGCTTTATAGGGGTGATAGTACCAAAAAAGTGTAAAGTGTGCCCACTCAGCTACTGAGCTTGAACCCGAATCCCTCCACCCCAAAACGGTGAGTAGGGTTGAGGTAGGGTTTCAAGTCAGGCCCCTGTTGCACCTCACTGCGCCGTCTCCAAACTGCACATGGTAGCGGGCCGTCTGAGGGTCGAAGGCCACAATGGTACCCACCTGCCATGGAATGACCCTAAACCCTAAACCCTAAACCCTAAACCCTAAACCCTAAACCCAAGGGTCTGGGGTTTGCATGTTGAAACTCCAGAAATTCGGGAGTTCGCTGCTGTCGTACCTATCCAAAGCAAGGGAAGCAGCGTTAAACCTAGCAAAAATGCCCAAGATGCTGTGCATGTCGGCGATACACGCCGAGACCCGCAAGCAGTGCCAGGAGAATGCAGGTGCCCCCAAAAAAACCCAAACCCTAAACCCTAAACCCTAAACCCTAAAACCCTGGAGTAGGGTTTCAGGGCGCCTCATTGCAGAAACGTACTACACATGGACTCTCTGGGGCAAGACCTTTGTGATCTAGTTCAAGGGGCCATCCAGGATTCGGGCCCACGAGGATTCTTCGAGTTTAGGGTTTAGGTTTAGGGCTTAGGGCTTTGGGTTTAGGGTTTAGGATGTAGGGTTTAGGGTTTACAGTTTAGGGTTTCGGGTTCGGGGTTAGAACGAATCGATCCTTGAGTTCTTCGAGAAGGGGCCTAAAATCATGAAGTGGTGTTTAGGGTTTAGGGTTTGGGGTTTAGGGTTTTGGGTTTGGGGTTTAGGGTTTGGGGCTTGGGGTTTAGGGTTCAGGGCTTCGGAGGTCGTTTTGGGAACTAGGGTTTGGGGTTTAGGCGCACACTTTGACAAGAATCGATGGGGGTCAGAACGGGGGATGCTGCCGATCCTTCTTTAGGCTCCTGTGAGAAGCAGTTGGGTCTCTTGCTGGCTGTGAACCAGTGGTGGAAAATTCGGATGTCCCGTGCTGCTGGATTGACTGTTGGGACGCTCAATAGGGCTTAGGGTTGGGGATTTAAGTTTCGGGCTGAGGCTTCTCCAAGATGTGCAAGATCTAGGGTATGAGGGTGACTTGGTAGCCAGTAACCATATTTGAAATAAGGGCGCCCCTTTTTTGGTTGGTTGCTTTATAAGGGAACCCAAAAACAAAAAAAGGTAAAGGGTACCGCTGGGCTGCCAAGGTGAAGTATCTGCATAGCGTCCACCCTACAAACCGTGAAACCGACTTCAACAAAAAGGATGGAAGCCCAAGCATGTGCATGGTTCAAGGGTCCAACGCTTGAAGCCTACAAACCCTAAACCCTGAACCCTAAACCCTAAACCCCAAACCCGAAACCCTACACCCTAACCTAGGCTCAGAGTCTTGCAGTTTCGGCTGCTGGGCTTTGGCTCCCAAAACGACGCTCAGCACCTGCAGCAAGGGATCCTAAGAACGCGCGTTGCTGGTGAGCATCCGATACCCAGACGATCCCAGTTTAGGGTTTAGGGTTTAGGGTTCAGGGTTTAGGGTTTAGGGGGACGTGTCTCGCATGTTGAGCTGGAGATCTCGCAAAGTGTTGGGCCTGCGGCCGCGGCCGGCTGCTCCCAAAGTGCACGGGGCCACTTGTTCAGTGATTCTTCAGGCTTTTTTTTGGGACCTGAACCCTGGACCCAAACCCTAAACCCTAAACCCTAAACTCCAAAACCCTGACCCCTGACCTCTAAATTCAGCCCTATCCCCAAAACCCCTCGACCCGACCACCCAGGTCTTGAGCTCTGGATTTAAGAGTAGAAGTTAGGGTTTAGGGTTTAGGGTTTAGGGTTTAGGGTTTAGGGTTTAGGGTTTAGGGTTTAGGGTTTAGGGTTTAGGGTTTAGGCGCCAGCAAACTCGTACCTTTGGCTTTGGGGATTCTTTCAGCATAGCCCATGGTGCATATCAGGACCCTAAGCCCTAGAACCTAAACCCTAAACCCTAAACCCTAAACCCCAAACCCTAAACCCTAAACCCCTTATGAGGGGTGGCAGAAACCTGGGGGGTGCGAGATTCGGATCCCTTGACACATGCAGCCCAACCACCAGAAGACACCCTAAACCCTGCACCCTGACACCTGCACCCTAAACCCTAAACCCTAAACCCTAAACCCTAAACCCTAAACCCTAAAGCCTAAACCCGAAACCCTAAACCCTAACCCTAGACCATAATCCCTAAAGCCTAAACCCTAAACCCTAACCCGATTTTGGGCTTCAGGAGTGTTCGAGACACGTCCAACTGCGCGACTCTCGGGGCGCGCGCTCGATAGTCTTCTGACACTTTCTTGGGGAGATTATGGTTTGAGGTTTAGGGTTTAGGGTTTGGGGTTTGGGGTTTAGAGTTTGATCTGAACGCTCTCTGGTTCCATTTCAAAGTTTTGTTCTACTTGATGGTTTGCAGTAACTAAAGGAGGTTCGCAGTAAAAAAACAAAAGGTTTACGTTTGACCCAAGGGTTAAACTCTTATGGCGGGGTCAGGGAAAGGATTTGGGATGAAGATCCTAAGTCCTAACCCTAAACCCTAAACCCTACACCCTAAACCCTAAACCCTACACCCTAAACCCTAAACCCTAAACCCCCTCATCCCTACATCCCACGTCTGGCTGTCACTCGACTCACCCTGGCAGCTTAAAGACTCGGCAGCTTGAAGAGGGCCTCGTGCAGTGGATTGGGGTTTCGGGCTAGGGGCTTAGGGGTAATAGGGTTTAGGGTTTAGGGTTTAGGGTTAGGGTTTAGGGCTAGGGACACCCTACATCCATGTTGTACTTTGGATCCCAAGGTTCTACACAGTGGGGACCACTTTGCAGCACTTCTTAGGAACTCGAGGGGGGGGGGGGGGGGCAAAATGGGGAGTAACCTAAACCTTTGACCTCATGAATTCCTGAGCTGAAGAGCTGTAAGATCCTCAGCCCTTAACCCTAAACCTGAACCCTACTTTTTCAACTCTAAACCCTAAACCCCCCCCCCCCCCCCAGTCAAGGGATCCAATGGCTCAGCTCTACTCTGGACCTCGAGGCTGTTCTTACTAGGGGTTTAGAGTACCTCTTACATTAGAATCCCTATTAAGGATTGTTAGTATATGGGTTGAACACCCCTAAACCCTAAATCCCTAACCCTAAGCCCTAAGCCCTAAACCCTAAGCGGCAAGCCCTAAAACCCTAAGCCCTAAGCCCTAAACCCAAAACGCAACACCCTAAACCCTACCCTGTACACCTTTAGGTACGCAATCCTAACTTATAGCAACCCCCGCTTGGCCCTAAACCCTAAACCCTAAACCCTAAACCCTAAACCCTAAACCCTAAACCCTAAACCCTAAACCCGCAGACTGGTGACTCCCAGCTGGTCGCCGGCATCCAGGCCAGTGATCTTCTCCTCTTGGGCTTCTTGTAACTAGACCCAGGAGCGTCTAGGGTTTGGGGTTTAGAGTTTAGGCTTTAGGGTTTGGGGTGGTAACCTAGGAGTAACCTAACTCAAACTTTGTATCTACATCATACAAAAAATAGTACTCAAAAAAGAGTTGTATGTAACTACCATAGCATCTAATCATCCAGTCCTACTAAACTCCTAAACCCTAAACCTAAACTATAAACCCTAAACCCTAAACCTTCACTGCACAGGGACAAAAGGAGGGAACCGTACGAGGGAACCCTACCCGGAACACCCGCCCTCAGGGTTTGCAAGGTTTTGGGTTTTTGTTGGGGTTTAGGGTTTTTAGGGTTTAGGGTTTGTAGGGTTTAGGGTTTAGGGTTTAGGTTTTAGGTTTTAGGGTTTAGGGTTTAGGGTTTAGGGTTTAGGGTTTAGGGTTGAGGAGCTTCATGGCTCCGAGATGGCCACGATAGTCATTGCAATCATCGCCAGCCGCCCGTTGCTCAGCTCCTCCCGCTTTGGGGTTTAGGGTTTAGGGTTTAGGGTTTAGGGTTTAGGGTTTAGGGTTTAGGGTTTAGGGTTTAGGGTTTAGGGATACATGCGGGTATGTGCCGAGTGTGAGTCCGTACCTGAAGGTTGTACTGTAGCTCCTTTTGGGTGAGTTTTAAGGGGTTCTAGTATGCTGCACTAAAGAAGGCAATAATGTAGGAGCTTTTAGGTAGCGCTTCGCTAAATAGTGCACACGCGGCCCCCAAAGTCATGGTTGAAGGAAATCTGTTCAAGCCCAAACATACCCTCATGAGGTACATGGGCCCATAAAGTTGGAAACCCTAAACCCTAAACCCTAAACCCTAAACCCTAAACCCTAAACCCTAAACCCTAAACCCCAAACCCTAAACCCTAAACCCTAAACCATACAGGTTAGGGCACCACAAAGAATCCCAGGCTGCTAGCCGCTATTTTACGGGGGGGGGGGGGGGGGGGGGGGGGGGAGCCTTCTGCTAGGTACCATCGAAAAAGCAAGGAGCCTGCTTGCAAGGGGAGTTGAGGTATGGTCCGGTGTAGGGTTTAGGTTTATTGAAATTATTCAGGGCTCAGGTCCGGGGAAAGTTTCGAGGAGTTTCGAGGAAAGCTTCCTTTTTCGACTTTTGATTAATTTCCCAAGTTACAGGGGTTTTGAGGGTTTAGGGTTCAGGGTTTAGGGGCTTTGAAAGGGGCCGAGGATGGAGGAGGAACGACTTCAGGCGTTCAGGTTCCGCCTTAGACCACTGAAGAGCTGCACCATGTGCTTCTGCTGCTTCGTCGGCCATGGTCTACAGGATCCCCCCCCCTAGGTTCCCCTCCCAATGCTATTTAGGGACAGTTAAGCCTAATTAAGGTTGTTTAAGGGGGGAGCCTCGGGGATGTAGTATAGAGGGGGGTAGTGGGGGAACTCGGCTGAGAATTGTCACCAGACCCTCTCTTTACTTACCCCTGTGCAAGACTGGTACAAATTGCCCTGGGCTACTCTAGTCCTTCTAGATAAACAGGCCCTAAACTCAAACCCTAAACCCTAAACCCTAAACCCTAAACCCTAGACCCTATGTTACGCGAGCTGACAAGCGGGACCTTCACCCGATCACTTCAGCGGCACAGCGGCTCAAGTCGCCAAGACCCTATAAAGTCGGTCTAGGGTTTAGGGTTTCAGGTTTCGGGTTTAGGGTTTAGGGTTTAGGGCTTACTGGTGCTTAGTAGGCAATGAGGGAATCAGGTACCCTACATAAACCCTTGAAGGGTACATCTAGAGAAACACACGGTAC